ATGAACTGGTCCCAGCTGTTCTAAGTAGGACACTGAGAAAATGCATCAGCCCCATCAGCTGTGGCCCAGCATTGGGCTCCTCTGGCTGCAGCTCCTGGGGAAGTTCCAGCGTGCCCAGGACAGCAGCACTCAGTGTGACCTCATTAGTGTCACAATAATCTGCTGTTAGTCCCTGTTCTCCATCAGACTTTCACACCAGCCAGGAGGGACTGCTGAAGGGTGAGCAGGCCTTGCTGATCCCTCCTGGGCTCTCCAGTCAATGGATCATCTCAGGGATGGGATCAGGGGCTCGACTGCCAACAGAGCACCGTTGTGGTAGGAATCAGCACCAGCTGTTCTTCAGCCCTGAACAGCAAAAGGGTCCCCCAAGAGACCAGGCAGGGCAGAACTGTTTCATTTCCTCCATCTCCAAGGCAGCCTTACCAAAAACCCACCAGTACTCTTTCAGGTGCTTGAAATAGTCTGAGGTAGCCCATGCCAGGGATCCTCCAGGCCAGTGACCATGGGGGGCTTTTGCCACCCACTGCCAGTGAGGCTGATTACCTGCTGAAACCAGGACACCTCCTTAGATTGTGGTGACACTGTTCCCTGTGCCACAATTTCTTCTATTTAATTAATACATTACAAGCAATATGTTTTCATCCATATGCTTAGAGTAACACTCCTCTGCAGGAAAAGGTCACATACACACACGGAGTTAGCAGCCCCAGTTAAAAGAGCTAGTGGAACAAACTCGAATCACCAAGGAAATTATACATTGCAGCCTTTACGTGCTACAGCAGAGGCAGATAAAATCACAGCAGGGCAAAGTCAGATAAAAACAAGAGACAAGGGAGCTCTTGATCCCCTGAAAAATTAGAGCAGCCCAGGGAAGAAAAACCCCCGTTGGCCACTGAGAGTCAGCCTCGAGTTGTGAGGTTGTACAACCGAGCTGGAAACGTGCAGAGGAGTCTGAGGTCCTGCACCTCCCAGGGCAGTGCAGCTCTGCAGTCCTCCCCCAGCTGTGCTGAATGACACCCTTGGGGACACAGCCAGTGGCTTGGGGGACCTGTCTGCACGGCCAGCAGGGAGATAATGGAGTTGTGAGAATCACGGCTGGTGTAGGAAACTTGCTACATCTCGATTATCCACACGGGGCTGCAACAGCTTCCTGAAGTGCCATAAAAACCAGGAGATGGGATTTTTAGATCTTGACAAAAGCCATTACCCACCATATAGGTCAGGCCTTTGGGAGCCAAAGGGAACCACCCCAAAAACCCACCCAAGGCTGTGCTGTGTCTCACCCTCAGCAGCACCACTGCTCCCACAGGCTGGCAGAACCAGCTTCCTCTGAGCTGGGAGTTTCTGAGAAGGTCTCACAGACACATATAAGGGAGTAGTTGATAAAACCAAACCTGCTGATAGCACTTCCCTCATATTTACATATGCAAGTTCTAATCACTCGACAAGGGCATCAGTTAGAGCTTAATTACCCATTGCACTGCTGAATGCAATTAAAACACCTTACTATTGTCTCTTACACAAAGACTAGAACACACCCCATCTTCCCAAGCACTAGCAGGTCTCACACAAAAGCTGCAGTCTGCATAATATTTTTGGATTTAACATTTTTTTAGCAAGGGAGGGACAGAAATTCCAGCACCCCTCCTGTGTCCCACAAGAGCTTCCTGTTATGGACCTGAATTCCTCAGTGTGTTGATGCTGCTCTTACCAGGTCATAAACAAAAATACACATTCTTAAGACCTGCATATGAAGAAGATTAATCCTCAAAAAGTCAGAGTTGCAGCACAAAGCTCAGTGTTCCTCTCTGTCAGCAGCTCCCTCCATGTCAGAGTGCTCACAGCTTCATCTGCTGCCTCATTCCTTGGCTTTTCCCCAAGCTTTCCTGGGCCTTCTGTCAGCCTGAATCCACAGCTACACGATCTGATCTCCTCCTCCATTCCCCCCCTCCTTTCCCTCCTCTTGCTCCAGGACAAAGTTATTTTCCTGAGGTACAGCTTTTTCTTTGTTTGGGGTTTTTTTCAACTCTAAGTATTTGTTCGTCTCAGGGGCAGTGAGAAACAAATGGAAGAGGTTATCACTGCTTTTAATCTTTTAGCAGACACAGATCACAAACCAATGACAGCAACACAGATCTGGCCATGACAGAAGCCTTAACTGTATCTCAGATCTGAAGCTGGCCCTAAGTACTTTTCCAAAATGTCTCAAAGCCAGCACATCAGTCCCCAGAGAGGAAGCTTTTCTTCTACCCTTCCTAGTTTTACATCCTGCATTCAGCTCATTTTCTTTTAAAATACCAAACAAAGAATCCATAGACTAGTCCCATCCCCTTCCTTAGGGCAGCACAAATACATACACAAAACTCTCCACACCTGATCCCAGGATTTGGTAACTCCAGCTCCATAACTACAAACAGATTTGGTCCAGAACAGCTGTATAAAACTTTATAATCCCCAAGCCCTATATCTTTGCTGGCTACAGGAGCTATAGCTCTGCACTGTGATGTCTCCAGAAGTCTCATCTGGGAGGGTTCAAGCCCCCAGATCACCTGGACATGCAGACCAGCAGGTGATGCTCCATCTTTTCCACAGCTGCCCATAAAGGAGCACCTGCCCTCACATCCTGCCCACCCAGGGCTGGGGCAGGGGCCAGCCCTCAGTTTGGGCAGCAGCACAGCTACCCGTGCAAAGGGCTCTTGTACACATTTCTGACATTGTGCTGTATTTCCAGGGATTGTAGGAAGCTGATACCCTGGCACGGATCCTCTCCCTGTGCACTCATGAGCTGTGTCACTGCTCTCCTTTCAGACTCGGAGGTAAATTGAAAGACTTGCTCCTGCACTCCCACCTCCCCTGGTTTAGATGTGGAAGCCCAAGATATTCACCTGTAAAACACCTGTTTCTGCTGCTGTCTGGCCCTAGAGAAGCTTTGGCTCCAAGGGATCTGCACTGTGTTCAGCTGTGACCAGGATTTGGCAGCAGGACCGAGGAGGCACCATTTGCCTGGGTCTCTGTTATTCCCACTGGAGGTGATGGAGCTGCTCCAATTGCTGAGCCCGGCTGGGATGGGAGGGAGAGCACTCCCAAAGTCTCAGTCAGCAATGCACCAAGGTGTCTGACTGGTCTGTCATTCAGATATTTTCACTCCAGTCAAAAGTCTGTTATCACCGTTTGCTCTTTCCCCCTGCACCTTATCCTGCTGCTTGTCCTGGTCTTCTCTCACATTGGTTGCTTTCGCTAAGAATTTTTTAAAGACAAATTTAACTCTTTAGGCAATGATGAACAGCTGGAAAGCCTGACTCAAGTGCACTTGCCTCCCCCATCAGAAACCTGGCCTGGTCCCCCCACCCCTGAAGCTGCTCCACTCGGCAGCAGTTGGTACCTGGAGAAGTGTGTGGGTGCAGCCTGAGAGGGTTTGGGAGGGAAAGGTGGGAGCCCTCCTGGAATCTCGGGTTTATTTTATTGGTGTAAGAGCTGCCCTGCCAGGGCAATGCTCTCCCTTTTGAGCTTGTGGTGCTGTTTGTGGAAGGAGGTGGGAGATGCAAGTGCAGATGAAGTGACGTTTTCCATTGAGTTTCCTTGGAAGAGGGGGGTTCAGGCTTTAGTGGTTGAAATGAGTTTGGTAAGGATGGTCAGAGGGGACAGCCTGTTTCTCTCCCAAGATCTTTGTGGACAAAATGTCCAGCCCACAGCTGGAGAGCCGTGTTACATGATGGGTGAGCAACTGGCTCATGGGTCAGGCACAAAGAGTGACAGTGACTGGGGTGGCATCAGGCTGGCACCGGTCACTAGTGGGGTTCCACAGGGCTCCATCCTCAGCCCCGTGCTCTTCAGCATCTCCATTAACAACCTGGACACAGGACTCAAAGGAATACTAAGTAATTTTGCTGAGGACACCAAACTGGGAGGAGCTGTTGAGTCCCTGGAGGGCAGAGAGGCCTCAGCAGATCAGAGATGGACAATCCCCAACCGTGGGAAGTGGAACAAGGGCAAGGGCCAGATTGTGTCCCTGGGCCAGGGCAGCCCTGGCTGTGTGTGTGGGCTGGGGATGAGAGGCTGGAGAGCAGCTGCAGGAAGGGCCCTGGGGGTCCTGGTCCATGGCCAGTTGTTCCTGAGCCAGCAGTGCCCTGGCAGCCAGGAGGGCCAACGTGTCCTGGGGGCATCAGGGAGGGGATTGTCCTGCTCTGCTCTGCCCTGGGGCGGCCTCCCCTCAACATTGGGGCAGTTTGGGGGGACACAATATAACAAAACCATTGGAGAGTGGCCAAAGGAGGCAACGAGGATGGGGAAGGGTCTGGAGGGGCCTTATGAGGAGCAGCTGAGGGCACTTGGTTTGTTCAGCTGGAGAAGAAGAGACACAGACATTACTGAGTATTTCTCAGGACTGACAAAATACAAGGGATGAAGCCTGGCATGGCTTGTTGCTTTAACTTCTGTAAAGCTACTCCAGGTTTTTAAAGGTCTGTAAACTCAGATTTTTCCTTTGTGGGAAACACAGATGTCTCTAAGGGCATGATAGGACAAGGGGGAATGGCTTCCCACTGCCAGAGGGCAGGGTTAGATGGAATACTGGGAAGGAATTCCTCCCTGGGAGGGTGGGGAGGGCCTGGCACAGGTTGCCCAGAGGAGCTGTGGCTGCCCCATCCCTGGAAGTGTCCAAGGCCAGGTTGGACGGGGCTTGGAGCCACCTGGGCTAGTGGGAGGTGTCCCTGCCCATGGCAGGGGAGTGGAACAAGATGATCTTTAAGATCCCTCCCAACTCAACCCAGTCTGTGACTCCATGCACAGGGCTGTGCCTGCTGTGAGCAAACCACTTCTCTGTCCATCCCTGAAGCTGCTGTGGTGTGTTCATGTGCTCAGTGCACAAATATGCTGGAAACCAGACTCACTCAGCCTGAGCTTTGACCACGAGGTGGCATTCTCTGAGCTTTTTTTGCTAAGGAGGAGTAGAACTTACCATCTTTAATAATAACAATAATAATTAAGGGGGGGAAGAAAGCCTCAAACCCTCCCTGTATTTTCTGAAGTCTGTGACAAAGCAAGATTTGTGAGGAGGCTGCTCCTGCTCTTGCAAAACAATGGTGCTGCTTTCTGAGAGCTGCAAGGGAGACTGAGGGTCAAGTCCCTTTAAAAAAAAAAAAAGTGAAATACAGTATTGTGCATCTTGAAATCTGAAACCGAGAAACAGAAGTGCAAGGGAAACAAGGGGGAAAGTCTTGCAATTCCTGAGGACAACTGTTGCAAGTGGAGTTTTAAGGAATACAACCTACATATATACATTTAAAGGTCATTGAATGGCTTTTGTGGAGAAACCTGTGAAATAAGGGAGCCTTGGAAGAAGAGATTTCTTTTTTTTCCTCCTCTCTGGATATAATGGCCATTGCAAAGCAAAGCATCTTGAGATTTGGCTTCAAATGTCTCTTCCTAGCAATTTTTGCGCTCACCTGTGATGGACACGGCGGGAAGAGGGAGAACGGGGGTCCTGCCTGCTACGGAGGGTTTGATCTGTATTTCATTCTGGACAAGTAAGTCAGCTCTACTTTGTTCTTTTTCAAAGAGATCTTTCTCCAGGCATGAGCTGGAAGAGCTTATACTGATACCGAGGAGGTTTTCCTTGGATTCTGGCTCAGTAGAAGTCCCTGTGTCCCCAAGGGACCTGTGAAACTCCCGACTGCTTGCTTTGTTTTTGTTGTGGTGACTTCTTCGGCAGGTCCAGGGCATAAATCCTGCTGTGCTCTGTAAATCACACCAGAGCAGTTCTGCTGATGGGGGCTCTGTTGTGCCCTCGCCCCTGCCCTTTCCCAGAGCAGTGGGTGGGAGAAGGGCAGCACCCTGGTCCCCTCTGGCTCCCCATGAGCTGTGAGGGTCGAGGCTCGCAGCACAGCAGGGGTTGCAGGGTTATTCTTGCAGACATGAATTAATTCCATAGCTGAGAACGTGGAGGAAACACTGGCCTGCCTGGAGCTCTGCTCCTGTTCCCCAGGTACCTTCCAGAGCAGCAACTGCAGGTAAAAACCAGCTCTGAGAGGGGTCACTGCCCCAGAGGGGCTCAATTTGGCTGTTGTGGTGCAGAACAGCTCCAGTGTCTCATTTAAAGAGAGCTTTGTTTTCTCAGCTGAGTCACACTTTCTTTGTTTCTTGTTAACCAAATGCATATTTTGACTGTAACTACTGAAGATAACTTCCTACCTCACTTTTTCATCAGTAATTGTGGCAGTGTCATCTCCTTGGCACTCCAAGTGTGCCTCTTTTTTCAGATGGGGACGGAGTGATGTGAAATTGTGCTGAGCTTTGGAAAGCCTCGTTAAAAAAAAACCAACAAACAAACAAACAAAAAAAAACCAACAAAAAAAAAAACCAACAAAAAAAGAAAATATTAAAAAAAACCCTAGCTAAAATGATTGTCCTAATTTTCTGGATTAAGAATAATCAGCTTGAACCAAAAGTTTGGAAATACTGGAGATTCTGCCTGCCAGAGCCATGGCACTGACATTATTAACCATAAATTTCAGAGACAGGAAAGTATTTGCAAGTTGCCAAAAGCGCAGATGAAGCTTTCTGCCTGATCCTCTGGAGTGCTTTGCAGTAGCTCCCACATTCCTTTAGTATAAATGACTTGGAATTACATAACCTTTTATTACAAAATACTGGGTAAAATGTAAGACTGAGACACTGGCTGTTTCACTGTGCCAGTTGTCCCTAATGCTCCAGGGGATAGATTTTTTTAATTCATTTCTTTTATTCACTGGAAAGATCTACCTGGGTCATGCATTTTGGTGCTCTGGTTGTTCAGTTATTAGTTGAAATATCTCTATTGTATGGGGAAAAAAACCAAACCCAAACAAACCCAGAGCATGATTTGTACTGCAGGGAGCTTTTGCAAACTGCATTTCTTTGGAAGTTGAAGCAGGATTGAAGGTTTTATCAAATCTGATGGATGTGCTGTGTTATTCCTCTGAGCTAATGGAACTTTAGCAGGCACTTAATTCAAGTCCTGTGCTGTCCCCTTCCTAAAATCCATGACTTTTTAGCCTTGCTCAAGGGATTATGGATTTGGGTGGAAACTGAAGCCTTGGGACAAGATTTAAAGCAGGCAGGCTGTCCTCAGTGTATCCGGGCATCCAACAAAAATCCTGCTTTGACAGCTGCAGGATTTCTGTTTCTTGGATTTTTTTTCTGGTGCAGAAATGCACCAGATCTGCTGTAAAAGTGTCCTTGGTGTCCAGTGGCATTTGGAGGAGTGTTGTGGTGTTTCAGCTGTTGGGGAGTACAATGTGCCATGGACCTGGTTGTTTAACCTCTGATGAGAGGTCAGTTATCCCTTGTCCTTTATCTTTAAAACTTTCATAGACTCACAGAATGGTTTGAGTTGGAAGGGTCCTCAAAGATCATCTGGTTCCACCTCCCTGCCATGGGCAGGGAACCTTCCTCAGACAGTTCACTTCTCAGAGGCCAAGCTGAATTTCCAAAAGAGCTGAGTCTTATTTAGCCTGGATTTTCTACCTTCTGCTTATCTAGAGAATGTTTTCCAAAATGCTGCTGAAGTCCTGAATCCAGAGAGAGGTGATGCCTACAGAGGCCTTCAGGCAAAGTATGAAATTATAATAGTGGATTCAGGAGTCACTGGTTTTCTTTGAAATAGGTCTAGAAATGATCACAGACTATTGAAAGTGATAAAGGACTCTGAAGCAGAAGAGATTTAGACTCTTAAGCCTGAAATGTAATTTCCCTGGTGGAAGGAAGCCATGAAAATATTAAGCAACCTCCTTTCTGGGATCAAAGGAGTGACACAAAAACAACAAACACAGGCTGGAAGCCACTGGTGCAGGAGCCCTGAGCTGACCCTGTGCCTGGGTGGATTTAGTGACTCCTTGAGTGCCTCCAGTGCCCTGTTGGGAGCAGCTCGTGGGACACGTGCCAGGCTCTGCACTGGACCCAGTCCTGGTCACAGCTGGCTCTCAACCCCAGTGCTGGCCACAGGAAGCCCCTTCAGAGTGACCACAGAACCCAGGCTGCTCTCCTGGAGTGATGCTCCAGCTCCCTGCACTGTTCTCCTCAGGAGGCTCCTGCAAACCCGTGGAGCAAACTCCTGAAGGCAAACCAGGTCTCCTCAGGTGTCTGTGGGCAGCTGGAGACACAACCCCCTGCACGTGGCACGCTCAGAGGACCTGCAGCAAAGCTCCCATTTCTCATGGTCAGGAAGGGGAAGAAAATTAGGACTCGGCCATTCAGAAATAATGCTCCACAGCCTCAACAACGTGCCTGTACCAGAACAAAACCAGCAGTGCCCCCAGCTGTGCCTGCTGGGTCCAACCCCCCCCTCCCTGTGTGTCCTTCATCGTCCCAGGGCTCTCACACCCCCAGGCAGCAGCAGAGGCCTCTCCTGCTGGGACCACTGGACCTCAGGCTGGCAGAGTTATACTAAAGACATGGACCTGCTGGAGCAAGTTTAGAGGAAACCACAGAGCTGCTCCAAGGGCTGGAGCCCCTCTGCTCTGGAGCCAGGCTGGGAGAGCTGGGGGTGCTCACCTGGAGAAGGCTCCAGGGAGACCTGAGAGCCCCTTCCAGGGCCTGAAGGGGGCTTATAAAAAGGAGGGAGAGGGAGTTTTTATACAGGCAGAGAGTGACTGGACGAGAGGGAATGGTTTTAAACTGATAGAGAACAGGTTTAGATTAGATGTTAGAAAGAAATCCTTCCCTGTGAGGGTGGTGAGGCCCTGGCACAGGTTGCCCAGAGAAGCTGTGGCTGCCCCATCCCTGGAAGTGTCCAAGGCCAGGTTGGATGGGGCTTGGAGCAACCTGGGCTAGTGGAAGGTGTCCCTGCCCATGGCAGGGGGTGGGACTGGATGAGCTTTAAGGTCCTTCCAACCCAAACCAGTCTGTGATTCCGTGATTCCATGTTCCAGAAGTGATGCAGGCTCCCTGGAGAACGGCAGTTTGGGTTGAGCCAGCTCCTTGCCAAGTAAAACTGAAGCTGTCACGCTGCTGTGGGTGCAGTGCTCCAACTTTGGAGGAAAGCACAGTTTGCCAGCCCTCTCCAGAACCATTGCCTGACATGCAACAAACTCCACAGGACAAAAATCCTGTCACACACATAAACACTTAACTTGAAATTCTGAGCTGAAGGAACTGTATTCACACGAACTAAGGCTGGATTAATCCTTTTCTCTTGTCCTTTGATTGCAAAATCTCAAACTGTGGCTATTTTCTCAGTTTAATCTCAAGCTGTTTGCTCTTTAGAGTACAGTTTTGTGCTATTTGATCTATGCAGGATCAAGTCACACCTCAAAGTGGAGGTATTACCAAGATGAGCCCAGTGTTGTGGCAGGTAGACCTGGCTTATCTTGAGAGAGTTGGCCCAAGGAGGCCTGTCCTCTTGTGTTCCTGTGGTGCTGAGGGGGTTCATGCATTGAGGCTCCCATAGGCAGGAGTTGGTGCCAAAAATTTACAGATGTGAGCTAAGACACAGGGCCTTCATTAAGGAGGAAGAATGAGGAAGCAGTGAGATGTCGCTAAAAGAACAAACATTTGTTTTTGCTGATATTGTCCAGTTATTCTAAAAATATCCTCCATGTGACTAATTAATGGTGACTGTGTCCACCCCCTAATTGACATGGTACCCAGTGCTGTTGTGTGGAAACCCTGCACAAGCACAGCTGGAACACGTAGAGGCAGCTCTCAGATTAATTCATTTGCAGGTAGGGAGGAAGGAATGAGATCTGAGCCTTCTCAGCAACCCTTTGCTGTAGCCTCTGTGTGTCACAGGGATTATTTCCTGTGCCCTTGCCTGTGGTGTGCAAATAACGGGGAATTTATCCCCACGTGCAGAAAACACACAGGGAACTGTACATGTGTGAGAGAAAACTTGGCTCCAAGAGATCCCTGGCAAAATGAAGCAAGTAATCCAAGCTGCTTCCTGAGATCCCTTCGCTGCCCAGCCAGACAGGGAGTCTGTTTTTAACGGGTTGTGTTGCAGTGAAACTCCTGCTCTAGAGGGGCTGGTGGTTGTTTCTTTGGCTGTGGCTCGAGCAGCTGTAGTTCCCATGACTGCAGTGGGACTATGTCCAGGTTTACACTCAGAGAGGAAGATACAGGGACCATGGTGGGATGGAAACACCAGGCAGGGAGCCCGACCTGCAGGAGCTGCTCCTTCCCCTGGGAAATGTGAGCCCTCCAGCACAGGAGCTCCCAGAGCTGGGGCATGTTGTACCTGCTCTCATCAACAAACACAGGCCTTTGGGAGGGAATGGTGACAGGGAGTGTCTGCAGGAATGGAATCATGGAATGGGTTGGCTGGGAGGGACCTTAAAGCTCATCCCTTCCACCTCCTGCCATGGGCCAGGAACACCTTCCACTATCCCAGGTTGCTCCAAGCCCCGTCCAACCTGGACATTTCCAGGGGTGGGAGAGTCCACAACCTCTCTGGGCAGTAGATTGAAAACCATCTCTGATCTTCGCTGACCTGGTCAGTGATTCCCTGATTGTTTTTCCAGGATCACAGGCCTGGATCCAGAGCAATGGATGCATTTTTTTGGATGGCAGGGCTCAAGGATGTGGAGGGGTAGTTTTTCTCTGTGTACCATGAGGGCTGAGGGAGGCAGGGTGGAGGGATTTGTGCATTCTTGTGTCCTTTTGCTTGTTGCCTGAAGGGATGTCATTAACTCCTAAGTCTGCTGAGGGCTTGCAGTTGCAATGAACCAAGTTAATGTATGAAATCCTTGCCAGTCAGGACCTGTGGATGTGCTTTTTACCCAGTGGAGCATCTAAGGTAACCATTCCTTGGTAAAAGGGGTGAGTAAGAGCTCCCTGACAGCCAGGATTAAGTGTGTGCCTGCACACTCTGCACTTCATCAACTGCTTGAGGTAAATTAAGTCCATGGTTACTTGTTTATTAGTTAGGTTTTTGCATATCCCCTGCCAGCCAGGAAGAGAAGAATGTTCTTGGCCTGTGACTGGGTTTAGAGGCTTGTCCTGCTCTGCTCTGGATCTTTAAAGACCCTGTGACCTCAGGAGTTTGGCAGCGTCTCTGGTGAGCTGTCTCGTGTGAAGTGTGGCACAAGATAATAGAATAGTGTTTCCTCAAAGAATTGCATCACCTCTCCGAGGTCTCTGTGCTATGCAGGGTTTTCAAAATTTCTCCTGAATTGTTTGGAAAGACAAAGGAGACTTTTTGGCTCGCCTGTGTTGTTTTTAAAGAGCTCAATAGACAGATAATGCACAACTTCTTAGGTAAATGCCACCTCTGAGAGCCACGAGACTTCTTGGAGTTAGTCCAAAACCGAGGAAGTTTAAGGAGATTTTGGATCAACATCAGCCTCTGAACCAGGTGTCTTTGTGTCCTTCTGTCAGCTGCAGAGCACGTAACTCATGTGGGGGCTTGATTCTGTGATTCCTCTAGTTTGTGAACCAAATAAACCCACAGGTATTCTGAGAAGGTGAGAAGGTGCAGTGACAGAAATGGAAAAACAGAGTCTAAAAAGTGCACAAAAGACAAACTCTGAAGAGGTTTGAGTTGCTTCAGCTTCGGGCTCTGGTGCACCTTGTCCCAGGGAGCAGGAGGAAAGCACCTGCTGGAGGAAGGGCTTTGAGCAGAGTGTGGCTCTGCTGGCTGGGACCACGGAGCGTGTGGAGAGTCTCTCTCAACACTTGCATTCAGTTGAGATGTACAAAATGCCAGCACAGTTGACCACAGAATGTATCATTCTCTTGTTAAAGAGAATGGTTTACTTAGGCTTAACTTCCATTTATTGGGCTCTTCTCCAGAAGAGAATTTGGCACCCTCACCACGAGCCTTTTCCTAAACTGCAAGTTTATAGCATCAATCATTCAGCTGTAAAATGTTGGCTCACTGATCATCTTGTTTCTTTGGGGAGTATGAAGAGACAACTATTTTAAATTTGGCATTTCTTATCTTACATTTGGCTTTAGAAATACTTGTCCTACCCAAGGCCCTTGGCCTCCCTCAGGAGAGGCTTTACAGGTGACAAGTGTCTTTTGCTGTGTGGCTGCTGACGACACAGCTCAGACTGTGCAGGTGGACACTGTAAGGTAATGCTGGTTTTGCAAACTTTCTGTTGGCTGCAAAAAGGTTCATTTTATTGGTTTTGTCCATTTTATGCCAAGTGAAGAGTGTAAGAAGTCTGAAGTTGTTTCAGAAGATGCATTTTGTGTATAAGGGGAGTACTTTTTCCTCAGTGCAGACCTGGGCATTCCCAGCCCCTGACACCTGGGCTCAAGTAGAGACAGAAATGAACCCCCAGAGCCTGAGTTGTCTGGCCACAGGTGGGAACTTGCTGTGCAGGGAGGAACAATGTGTGGTCAGCAGAAGCCTGAGCCTTCCTTTTGGGACCCTGTCAAAGCTCGCTCTGGTAGAGCTGAGGAATAAATGGATTGTAGACTATTCCAGTTGCCCCAGTTCAGTGCCTTGGGACCTGAAAGCAGAAAATATCCTCCTTTGGTGGATACAGAGGGTTTGGGTTTATGATTGTTGCAGTGCTAAGAATTTTCCTAAAATGGGTATTCAACATTCTGCTGCTCCTGAACTTCAGGTTGTTCCTTGCGTGTGTTCACAGATGAGGCTTCATGGAAAAATATCCATAACTTGTGTTTCAGAGGGCATAAAAATGGGACTGTTGGCAGGGGAGCAGAGTGAGGATGATGAAGGGAAGGAGGTGCAGCACAGCTGAAGCTGTACTTGTGTGAAGAATTAAAAAGCACTGCTTACCTGCAAAAACTGCCCAGGTAACAAAACCAGCAGAACAAGAGTTGCAAAGGCAAAGACTTCACAGGATGTGCTGTTCCCTTCCTGACTGGCACATCGTTGAACTGAGGGTCAGTTCTGGTTTTAAGCTTTATTCTGGCAAATGCTCTTTTCAAGAGTGCACGACTGCAGAGCCATGGGCAGTGTCAGGGCTTTGGTGTGATGGCCTGCCTGGATCCTCTGTGGCTGGATCCCTTCCCAGCTGCCTGGCTGCAATGGGCATTCTAAGGGATGATCAACTGCTGTTCAGAGAGGAGGAAACAACCCAACTTTTGAAGGCTGATGGAGCTCCCAGGGCAGTGTCCTGCCAGTGTTTTCCCTGAACAGGAGGTGCTTGTCTCACCTGATGGCTGGAGAAGGTTGGGCAGGGGCTGCTTGAGGAAGGGTCTCAGCTTCACATGTCTGGTACCAGATGGTTCAGGAGACGTGTGGAACTTCACTGAGGTGTGTTTTTTTGAGAGGTAGGAATAGGGTCTAAACAAGATACATTTCACTGAGGTAAGGACTAATTGGTTTGTGGTTAACCAAGCCTTGGCTTTACATGTCTTCTGGAGGCTGATGTGACCATTGCTTTAAAGTCAAGTGTTTCTTTTATGCCTCACCATATAAAGACAATAAATACTGATTTTCCAGGCCAGTTCTAGGAAATTACTTGTGCTATTTGGCATTGTTGGGACTGGAGTATCTGTTGTATTCAAGGTCTCAGAGTTATTCCATAGATCCCAGGGCAATTTGCTCCTGGGGTTGGGATTTGTGTGTCTCTCTCTGTTCTATCAGTTTGCAGTTTGGATGCAATGGGAGTTAAGTTCCTTGCTGGAGAGCAAGTCCTGATGTACCTTACCCTTCATCTGTTATGACACCAATTTTCCCACTGTTTCTGGTTTAATTAGTTGATCAAGACCTTTGCTATTTTAGTCCTCTTTGATGCACATTTGTGTGTAGAACAAGTCATGATTTCAGGTCCTGGTGTGATGGAAGACAGCCAGGAAGAAATTTAGCACTGATAGCATTTGCTTGTGATCACTGAGCTCTGCCATCTGTCCCACAGCCCTGCCCAAAACAGGTGACTGGGAGGGACCTTTGAAGAGGGGCTTTTGGTAACGAGAGCTGGGGAGTTCACAGTTCTTCCAGGTGGACCAGATGCTCTTGTCCCTGTGCAAAGGTCCTCACTGCAAAGGTCCTGCAAACCCGAGTTTGGACAGACTGGGGTCACACAGAGGAAGAACAGATATCCTGGAGCAAGAGGGCAAAGCCAAGGCTTTACTGAATGGCTGTAAAGGAACACGAGGGGAGGAATGTGTGTGACCCCACAGCGGGTCTGAGTGCTGGCTGTGCCTCCAGCACTGAGGTCCTGCTCTGGGCAGCCAGGCTGGGGGTTGGGCTGGGGGAGCAGGGCCTGGGGGAACCCATTCCTGGCTCTGCATTTGCTCCCTCAGATCTGAGGCAGGACAGGGCAGGTCCCTTTTCTTCCTGTGAAGTGAAAAACCATCACCTCAAATGTTCATCTTTTCTTCCTCAGGCTGCAGATCAATGAGGTTTCTGTTAAGGCTGGAATGGTTATTTCCCCTATAAATATTTCTAATTGTAGTCAATGAATTAAGTAAGTGATGACACTTTTATTTTCCAACTCTAGGAAGGAATTTTTTTTCCAATATTAATATTCCAGTGTTCATGGAAGTGTTTATGCTAGAAGGGGCATTTAGTGCTGAAAGATTCTGATTAACCTAATTTTTCCTAGTTCTTACAACATAAAGAAGAATAATCCAATCCCATTATAGCCCATAGTTTATCCTCTCGAGGAGCAAAATTAGTTTGTTTTGTCTTTAGCTGAGGTGTGAAAGAATTAACCGGAACAGTTGAGACATGGACTAAGGTATTTTACTTTTCATAGTGTCTGGCACAGTGGAAACACAAGAGAAGTTAAATAATCTGTTCCTCCAACTGTGTGTTATTCTCAGAATACACTTGAGCTGAAAGCTCTGTGTAATGGTTTGGAAGTGAGTGGGTGGAATTAATCTAAAACACTTCAGAGAGAAGGTCTTCACTCACACAGGTTTTGTTTGGTTAAGGCTGTGTTAAGGTCCAGCCTAATTGCCATGTGTTATTGCCAGGGGTAGCCTCAAACCCTTGTATGGAATGGGACTTATTCTTGCTTTTCAAAGTTAAGTAGGAAATGTCATTTACAGTTCAATCTCTCCTTACAGGAAGAATATGGGCAGTGAGTGGTAAACAAAATAAAGGCAAGTGCTTGGCCGAGCAAGGTGTGAAAGGACACAGGGCTGGGAAAGCTACAATAGCAGCAATTGAACTAATCTGTCCTGTAATCATTGTCTCCCTAGGTCAGGAAGTGTCCTGCACCACTGGAATGAGATCTATCACTTCGTGGAGCACTTGGCCCGCAAGTTCATCAGGTGAGAAGTGCTGCAGGGGACCAGTGGCTCCCAGTTCAGCTGAGCTGCTTTCCACTGGGGGTGGAGGGAGGGTTCTTAGTGCTTTCCTCAGGTCATCCCAGTGGCTGCTTTTCCCCAGATTTCTGTCACGTGGGAAATAGGAGGAGATAAGCTGATCCCTCTATTCCTGCCTGCCTGGATCGAGTCTTACCCCTGTGGGGAAGGAGCCCTCCTGTTTGAGATGCTCCTGAGGCACACAGGTTTGGGTCTGCAGGGAGGGGCCTGTGGCTGTAGCTTTCAGGCTCTGAATGACTTGAGACTGCATGGAGAATCCCTCAGGACATGGAATGTGTTATGATAAACACAATTAGCCTTCCCTCATCTTCGTGATGATTCCAGGATGCATTTAAGCCTTTCTTGCTTCAACAATCCCAAGGTTGTGATGCAAGTGCTCTTTACAGGGATGGTTTGTCTTGACTGGGAAGGCCCAGGGAAAAGCACCTTCTGCTGCCTCCTCCTGCCTTTGCCCCTGCTAGTTATAACTGAGAGAGCAGAGTGTCCTGTGTGGTTGGGGTTACACACACAGGAACCTCTGCACCAGCAAATTAATGTACTTCTTTTCTCTCCTCCAGCCCTCAGCTGAGGATGTCCTTCATTGTTTTTTCAACTAGAGGGACAATTCTAATGAGGTTAACTGAAGACAGGTAAGAAGAGGTTTCAAGGTGCTCAGCACCTTTTTTGTCCCTTCACCTTTCTTGTTCAACAATTCCCAGTCCACTGTGAACAGAGTTGTGATACCTTTGTGCTTCTCAATTTAATTGTTTGAACCACCTGCCCATTTTCATATCCTAGAATACATTAAGGGCTCTCAAAGCAGAGGTTGGCTTCTTAAATTTTAAATGTCTTTTCTGTTAGCTATTGGGGTTTTAGCTCAGACTGGTTTCATTGAGGGAGCTGCATTCCACAGAGACTCAGGCTTTTGTTGGAGAACAAGAGGCTTGTTGCCTGTGAAACATCCTTTGGGAGTTTCTTCTGCAAACAAATAGGTGAAACTCCCTTCCCATAAAAACAGACTTGAAAACCAGAGGTGACTCCCACACTCTTGAGGTGGAGGGGAATGTGATTTCCTCAGAGGTCTGAAGGGATATTACAGACAAACAGTGTTTGGGATGGATTGCAAGGGGCTGTATTTTTTGGCAATGGCAGTTTGATTGCCAGGTTTCTGAAGCGTGTTCCTGTCACCCCTTTGTAGATCCCCAAGTTAATCCCAGTAAAATCTGTGGGATGGAGTTTTTTATTTTACTCTGACTTCAAGGAGAGTTGGACGAGGTCCTTAAATCGCTCTCGCTTCCTCTGTTAACTTCATTGCCACGTGGAGCAGAAATATATGTAACACATGTGTAGGGTGTATAAGTCAGCATGTGTTTTACATATTGGATGTCTGAAATCACATACCAGAGCAGCTCCCATGGAGGAACAGGGAGGAAACTGGCTGCCTTCCTACAGAGCAGTCCACATACACCCCAGCCTTGCAAATGCCATTAACCCCAGCCAGCCTAAGCAGCCCTTCCTTGCCACTTACTGCAACAATAAGGATAAAGAGAATAAACCCTATTTAACTGGGTGCCAGCAGTAAACCTGTTCCCTGCCCCTTGCTGTGTCCCATCCCCTAAACACACCCTGCTGCAGAGATACCTCATCTGCTAAGGCTCTGAACTAAGAGACTGAAGTGTTCCCTATGTGGAAATGTATTCCATATTTATCCAGCTGCCCTGGAAATGTTGACTGGGAACAGGATATTGATATGGTATTAGTCTAAAAGCCAGCTGACTGCAGAGCTGCTGCTTTTTATTGGGGGACAGACAAACAAGGTTTTGGTCCTTTAGTTCCCACTGGCTGTTCTAAATGGGGAAGGTGGAGTGGTGAGAAAACCTCCTCTGCCTTGTCTGTGCCTCTGTGTGGTGTATCAGCCTCTGAATGTGAAGATTGAGGGTTCTGAGCATCCCTTTTTGGAAAAACTCTGTGCATCTGATGGGACTGGATTGGCGTATTCTGAACAGCTGTGCTGTGGATTTGAAAATGTCAGTTCACCTCTGAAAAATGGTGATCACAGGAAATGCTCCGTTTTATATTCAGCTTTGGCTTGGTGTGTGCATGAGTAGCTGAGAGGAGGAAATCTCTGCCACTAGTCCACCTATGGCAGTGTCTACCTAGTGTCTAACTGGTTTGGGAATCATAGGTACAGAATGAGTTCTCCAAAGTTTGACAATTCAGCCTGTTGCAAAAGCAGACAGTCTTTTTTTTTTCTCCCTGGGGGAGTCACTGCTGTGCTGACTGAACAGTGTTAATGCCCTGCTGCAATCAGCCTCACCACAGAGCTCCAGAGTGTGTGATCACACAGTCTGGGGTTTCTGAAGTAGTTAAAAAATGCAGGGACAAAACTGACTTCTGGCATGTCCATGTGGTCCTGCCTGCAGTGACTTCATCCCTTTCCCATGAAGATTGTGGAGTTTGCTGAGATACACCCCACACACTGCAGGGTGTTATCTTGTATTAAAGACTTCTGGCCTGTGCTTGGCTCCCAGAGTTTGGTGTCTGCCACTCAGGGGAACAGCAGATGACTGTCTGCCCTGGGTACCCTGCAGCTGATCTCACCATGCCTGGGATTCCTGAAAAGAATTCAAACAGATCCCCTGAGTCATAATGAGCCATTGGGAAAGGCTTCAATCTTCGAGTCAGTTTTAACAGGAACTGAAGGTGTAATGGCCAAATAAACCGGGCTGTTTGATTATGTTTGTTTAGTCAAGTCAGCAAACACAGTCAGGAAAGTGAGCCAGGTGAGTCGGCTGCTGAGTTTGACCAGGGAGCATTTATTTAGGAAGAAATGTATGAAATGTTTGGATATTGAGGAGATGCTGCTTCTGTGAGGCTTTCCCCAGGCTGTGGGAACACTGGGAGCACAACTGCTCTGTTTCCCACATCCTTGGAGAGGTATCTACCCAGGCTTGGCCTATGTAAACATTGGGTTAACTCTTTTTTCCCCCCTCTGTATTTGGCTCTGCCATGCATGTCCTCCCCTGGATATCAGCTCCCCAGAAGCTGGATCTTGGATCTGACAGTGTCTGCTTTCCTTTCAGGGAGCAGATTCGCCAGGGCCTGGAGGAGCTGCAGAAGGTGCTGCCGGGTGGAGACACGTACATGCACGAGGGATTTGAAAGGGTAACTAAGTGCAGGCTGTGGTGCCTCAAACTGCATCTGCTGCCCTCAGGAAATGTAACCAGAGGAATCTGGCCAATAACTCCCTGGTGGGTGAGTGGGACAAGGCCACAGGTACAGTGAGGTGTGAGTGGGCAGTGCTGGAGCTGGGACACAGGAGATGCAAACTCCACCAGTTACCTTTATTTCTGCCTTCAGCTTTCAGGGGGGAGCTGCCTTTTCAGTTTAGGACAAGGCAGAAGGCTTTGGCATTGCAATCCCACATGTTCCTGAAGGGTGGGAAGCTGTCAATCCTGCCTAGAGCAGCCTGGGGGCTGAGGCCGTGGTTCCAACCTGTTCTCACTGGTGGCCAAATAATGCTGTGCAGACGTTATTGCCTGCTCTGACCTTCTTCTGGATGAGTTTTTTAATATATTTTACAAGCTCAGGAGTCTCTCTAAACCTGAACTCCTGCACTCCCTCCCACTTCTGTCCTCCACATGTATTTGGGAAGACTTTGAACCGTCTGCCTGTTGTAAATGCTGAACTGTCATTGTTCACATTTAAATGTGAGTACACAGCAGAAATTCAGGTGACCTGACAGAGACTTGGGTTTGTTTGCAATTGGAGTCATTGATCTGGAGGTGCTGGGGAATATTTATTATTGGGCCTGGGATGTTTCTCAGGGAGGAAGGTGAATGGGATTTTCAGAGAGCAGAACAGTGGGAGACAATGTTAGTGTTGGCCTTGGGGTTGGTTTGACTGAGCTGTGCTTTGTTAAGACCTTGAAGTAACCCAGTCAAACCCACAGGCAAGAGCCCTGTTCTGGGAAGGGTTCAGATGTCTGAGAGCAGAGGTCATGTGTGAACTGCAAGTCCTCACTGCCATCTTCCCTTTCTTTCTGGTGCATGAGTAGATACCCACAAAGTATTATTATTGATTTATTACTAATAATCTTCTGATTTAATTTCAGGCAAGTGAACAGATTTACTACGAAAATGTTCACGGTGAGAGACTTTTCTTGATCCATTGAATTTTTTTTTCTCTTTCTTTTTGACATAACTTTAACAGATGTGAAATGCAGCTTCACTGTGGGAAGGGTGGTGTAAGGCTGCTGCTCTTACAGGAATGCAGTGCTGGTCAGTGTAGTGTTCCTGAAAGGGACAAAGAACTGGTGGAGCTCTAAGGAGCCAGAGCTGGAATGAAAGTGTTTCAGGCCAAAAGTGAGAAGCCAGCCTGGCTGAACTGCCCACTCTTACCAAAACTGTCTTTGTTCCTTTTGTTTGAGGACTCAGACAGCCATTTCTTCTTCCTTCTCAAACATAAGAATGTGGAGAAGCTGTTAAATAAAAGATTTTTTAATAAGCAATTATTAAAACCATCAGTAATTGGAGACAATTGCAAAAATGTTTGTCCTTCCCTGTAATTAATGTAAAATCTTTCTGCACTGCAAAGCCTGAAGTATGAATATAAATATTGCTTCAGAAACCAAAAGACAGACAACCAGATGTTTGAGTACAAAGCCAGGCCTAATGGTCTCACAGGGCTACTCACGAGTAAGAGGAAATCGTGGTTAAGTCCACACAGCTTTGGGACTCACCTGTAAAATATGCCTGCAGGAAAATGGAATAGCTGGGACAGCTCAGTTTGGGATTGGTGATGCTGTTGCATGCTGGTGTATGTGTCACATGTAAGCTGTTCCCACCACGTGCACGAAGCACTGGACAGCTGGGTCCAGCCTGAATGTTGGGCTGTGTGTTTTACCAGCTCTGTGCTTGTCCTTGCTCCACTCCAAGGAGGGTTTATCCCACCTGCAGGAGGTTCAAAGGCTCCTGCCATAGTCAATGGAGGGAGAAAGGCATCTCTGGAGGTCGTTTGTGCTCCCAAATCTCTACCAGAAATGTTCAGTTTTTTCCATGTCCTACAGAAGGAGCCTGAGCACTTGAGTTTGGGATCTGCAAGGGGAATAACCCCACATGTTGCTCATTGCTTGACTTCCTTGTTGCATCATTACCACATTGTTGAAAATTGGGGATTTCTAAATAGTACTAAGAAATTTTAGGTATCAGATCTCTGTTCTGCAGCACTTGAAGAAGTTGCCTGTTTGGAAGGGATAATTACAAGGTTTAATGGTATTGCTGAAATGTTGAAGATTTTAGGCCATTTCCTACCATCTCTGTTTAGATCCCAATTGAGCTTTTTATCAGAAGCTGAAAAAAAACCCTGTGGATTTCTTGAATTGATAAAATTAATAAAATTATTTTTTACAATATATGTATTAATATAATTAATAAAATCGGGAATTAACTAGGAACAAATTGCATTGGGGTTTTTTGATGGCTTCAGCCTAATCTACTGGTCTGTAAAACTGAAATATTGAGGGGCTGTCAATTGAAACCATTGGCACATCAGAAGGGGGGGATATAAAACTGAGATTGAAGGCAGGTGCCTGAGTGAAAAACTGTGGAGAAATTTATGTCTCCTGAAAACTGGTTGGTGGGAGGGAGGGAGGCCATGAGCTTGACAGTTACTGTTTATGGTCCTTTGGGTGTGCTGAGAGGCCTCTATCAGGATGTTTTCTAGGGTGGTTCAGCAAACACAATGAAAGCAAGGGCCTGAAGGAGTCTGTGTGTTCAGGTTACAGAACCGCCAGTGTCATCATTGCTCTGACCGATGGAGAGCTCCACGAGGACCTGTTTTTCTACTCTGAGAGGGAGGTGAGTGTCTCACACATTTTCGGTCAGGGAGACAGGGAGGTGTCTGGGCCTGCTGCTTTGAAGGCAAAAGATAAGGAAAAGCTTTTTCCCTTGTGAAAAAACTCCACTTCCGTGCTCTTTAGACATGAATCTTGAAGATAACCATTAAGAGCAGCAACGCTTCTGACTCATCACAGCTGAGACTGTTCATGGGAAATGAGAGGGCTTTGAACTTCCAGTTAAAAATAAACACTGGAGGAAGGAAGAGTTCACAGCTGAGAAGTTTCAGTATTGACTGGATTGCTCTGGGAAATACCTGGATCTTCTCACTTTCACTTTTCTTCTCTCACAAAAAGTAAAGGCTGCAGAAGGAGGATGGTTGTTGTTTCTATAAACTTCTGTGACATCAGAAAACCTCTCAGATGATCAAATCCAAAATTTCCACAAATATTTCCACGGTTCAAGCACATATTCTCAGCATCCTCATTAAATTAGTGAACTATGCAAGATGTTAGCTAAACAGTAGGGTGAGCACTGAAAGCTTTGCTGCCCTTTGGACAGTCCTCTCTGAAGAGATGAACCAATTTGCACTTGTCAGTCAAGCAAATTAGGATGACCTAAACTTGGAAGATGGTATTTTTGCATGAATTTGTTATGGACAGATTTTTTCCTCTCAGTCTGTCCAAAGTGCAGCTTTAAATCCAACAACAACAAGAGGAAAGGTTTTGTAGAATAAAACCAATACTGCTACAGCACAAACAAATGTCCTGGATCTGCAGTTCTCCTCCTTGCTCTTCATCTCCTTTTCTTCCCTTCTGAAATAAAATACCCACAAGAAAAGCAAGTTTGTTTTTAGAGGTGAATTAACAAGTTGAAAGGTCAGAAGTGTTCCATTTGTTTTGGTTTGGGGAGGAGCAGTTAAGAGCTGGCAGGAGGAGATCCTGAACTCAGCTCCTACTCTGGGAGCTGCTGCAGTTGTTTGGGCTGAAGCTTCCCAATGTGAAACTGGAATGAGGCTTTTCTGCTGAAGCACTTTGCTGTGGAACAACTTGAATTGCTACAGTCTTCTGATACAGTCTGACTTGCTGCCATCTGTTCTGGGAAGGGGTTTTGGTCAGGTCAGGTGTTCTCGTTCTAATGACTTAAATTGTACTTATGCATTCGGAGCATTTGCCTTTTGAATAGTAAATGCAACTTCATCTTCAATGAAATAGCCTGGAAAAATCAAACCTGTGCATGTCCCCCCTTTAGTTTAGGATGCTGTGTAAGCAGTGGGAGTGATACAGTTTTGTAGCAGATGGAATGAAATGTCTCTCACCTATACATAAGTCCAGGCACACATCTGAAACAGAAAACACCAAAGCATTTTAGGTTACTCTTGTACTGGGATGTGCCCTAAATGATGCAAAGAAAATTGATTCAGTCTGTCTGACATCTTTTGGGAAGCTGAAGTCACTCAAGAGGTGAGCTAACTAGGTTTAAAAAAACTGCCAAATACCTTGGGATTTGCTTTACTAAACAGTAGCTACTCTAGAAACAGATAAAACCCGAATTTATGGAGTTGGGGAGGAAAGCTTTTAAAACTCTCCTTTGACAAGCCTCCCTGCTCATTAGGCAGAGGAAGACTAAATTTATGATTAAGACCTTTCAGAAACCTGCGTCCCATCCCATTTGCATCCGTGTCATCCTGCCTTTCCTCGTTCCAGGCGAATCGGTCGCGTGACCTGGGAGCAACAGTGTATTGTGTGGGTGTGAAGGACTTCAACGAGACCCAGGTAAAGAAGGCTCCTTTTTTGTCTGAGGTGCTTGGCAGAGGTGCAGGTTGAACACGGGCACACACTCCTGAATCCCCTTCTCAAGGTTCCCCAGTGGTTTTCCTCTCCTTCTGTTGACTGTTCGACGATCCGAAGTGCCCGCCTGAAGTGGTGGGTCTGGTGTTGGGTTTAAGTCCTTGTCTAAGTCTCCAGCTGTGGAGAGCTGCCCCTCTGCCTGCCCAGATACTCTTGGTAACGGTGCAGAAAAGCAGAGGAAAAGACACCTGAAGAAGAGCACATTGTCTGGCCTGAGGAGCAGGCTGTGGGACATCTTTTCCCCACACAAATATTGCCATAGAACTGCACAGTTTCAATCCAGGTTTCTCTTCAGGGGAAAACTGTGCTGTCAAAAGCAAACACCTTCATTAGTGACAGTAATAGTTCACACTGTTTTCCCCTTTGATAGTCTGACTTCTAAATTTGTCATAGGAATGTTGGTATGCCCATGAATTATATTTCACACACTAACAGCTGACATTTTTCTGACATGAGTGAAACACTTGCACAGCCCCAAAGTGGAGGCTGAAAGACTTTTTCCAGGTTTTCACCTTTCAAAAAAGGAGTCAAACCAAACTTGGTTTAGAACAGTCTCCTTCAAACCAAACCCAGAGACTGGTGCAACCCAGAGTAAGTCATAGAAAAAGCAAAGAGGGAATAAAGATGCCAAAGAGACCAGATCTAAAGCAACAGGCCCCAGACAGCTGCTACTTGAAGGCATTTAAATGCTGAAGAAATTAATTGGAATTAGATGACTGTGTCTGAAGTCCCAGAATGGACCAGGAGGAGGACCATGGGGAGTGAGTTGAGGAAACTGTAAACATCCTGGTTTACAGAGGCTTCTGCAGCTCAGCCAACAAGGAATGAGCTGCTTTGCTGCCCTTCTTGGAGCAGGCAGGGGAAAGTTGCCTGGAGTATTTCTCTGGATGCAAACCAGGAGGTTGGCAGCTGGGGAAGTGGGAGTTGTGAGTGACAGGAGCTGGAAAGGTGGAGCCCGTGGGGTTTAGGGAGGAATGTGTGGCTGCTCTGCTGCCTCCAGCTTGCAGTGCTACAGGAAAATCCAGAGAGGCCTTCTGGGCTGGGTTACCTCTGCCAGGGGAGAGAATTACTGGAACAAAGGTTGGCCTTGCAGCAGTAAAACTTGAGTCTGCTCCAGCAGATGCATGGAGAGCTCATTACTGCTGAGTTGGGCTGAGATTTTGGGCTTAACCCTTAGTCTGCCACTGGCAGCTGGACCTGCATGAAGCTCTTTGCAGGTGTTGTCCTGGTTCCCCTTACCTTGCCACCACCTCATGAAGGTCCCTCTTGTCATGGAGGTTTCTGGATGCTCCCCTGATACCTTTTAACCTCCACTTGGAAAATATCTCCTGAGAGGTCCCTGCTTACTTGGAAAATATCTCCTGAGAGGTCCCTGCTTTCTTCTTTTTGGCTCTTTAATGTTTGAGCGTAGGACCAATAGTCAAACCTCTGCCCTGACAGGGAAGGTGAGTCAGGGCTGTATCTCCAGCTGGGGTATAATTTCATAAAATCACAGCATCTTGAAGGTTGCAAAAGTCCTCCAAGATCAAGTCCAACCTTTGACAGAACACATTTTTATTAGCCTTCTCTACATGTGAAAATACTGAATCATTTTGGTCACTTCCCTGGTTTAAATGTGTCCAAGTGTTTTGCTGCCTGTGTTGATGCTGTGGCCTCTTTTGGCTGGGGAGTTACTGAGTGGGGTGGTTTACAATCATGTAGGAGACAGCTTTTGCACTAAAGGCTCTGGGCACCACTAAAAGCCACGTGAAGTCTTGCTTTCAAAGTTAAAAGCCCTTTTCTGATCCTTTCTAAAATCAATCAGGCTAAAGAGATTAACTTTTCACTGCTTAATAAACCATAATACAGTGGCAATCCACACAGAGTACTTGAGCATTTGAGGGTTTTATCTGCAATTGGATGAGTCTGGAGAAGTCTTAATTTGCTGCCTGCTGGCTAATTTATGTCATTCTTTGCATTTCTGTTTTATTTCCTTTCCCTGCTCTGTCAGCTGGCTCGGATTGCCGACAGCAAAGATCATGTCTTCCCAGTGAACGATGGGTTTGAAGCCCTTCAGGGGATCATAGACTCTGTAAGTACTTTTAATCATGTGTTTGCAGTTTGGTTTTCCTGTGTTCACAAGGACCTGCTTGAAAAATCACTTAATCATTTGGTCCAAAGAACTGACCTTTGTTTGTACTAAAATCGCTACTTCGAGGTCAGGTTTATCAACTTTGAGGCCAAAGATGACCTTTGTCTGTCTCCCTCCTTGGTGGGAAGGAACTGAGTGAACAAAGAGGCAGAGGGTGACAGTCTGTGACGTGGCTGCCCCGGCAGGGACAGCAGGGCTGTGCTGGAGCTCATCCTGTGCCAGGGGTCAGGGCACCCTCGATCTCCATCTGTCCCGTCCTGGGGGATGTGCTGCACTGCTCCCTGCTGGAATGGGGGAAGGGATCCTGCTCTGTAGGCCAAAATCCCCAAGCCTCTGCTTTCTGCATTCAGCCTCCTGGCAGATGGGCTGGTCTTCTCCTCCCCAGATCGAGGTTTCCCTATTCCCAATTCCTGGCATTCCCTGCGGGAACTGGGTGGAGCATTGAAGAGCTGGCCCATTTTGAGTGGCTGGGCTAATTAGGGTGCTTCCCGTGGCTACAAAGGATGGGAAATCCGTTTAAGGACACGTGTGTTCTTCATTTTGGAAGAGCTGATAAAACCCAGCTAAAGGTCCGATGTGGAGCTGGGAAGGGGGGTTCACCGGGGGGGTCTCACATTTCTCTGTTTACAGTGGTTACACACTATTTTGACAGTGTCATACCAACCAGAACCATCCCCTCAGCACAGGCTCAGTTCTCCCTGGTGCTCTCACATGGAGGTGGAATACAATCTCTTGCTTATTGGATTTCCTGGCACTGTCTGAGCGTGGCTCTATTGCCCCAGCTCTCTCGGACAGTCAGGTGTTGCATGTCACTTCAGAAAGCAACAAAACAAGAAGAACCACTTTGCTCCCCAGCCCTGCATTCCCTTTGCAGATGTTTTTAATGAATTCCAGCAGCAGTTCTGACTCCCTTCCCAGTTATACGGAACAGCCTTCAGGAACCCAATCAAGAACTGCCTCAGCTGAGCTGACTGGTGCAAGATTTCCCAGCCCTGGGAAGGAGGGTCACAGGGAAGTGCAATTGTACAGTAATGAATCCATGACCTGATCACTTGGATTTGAGTGGAGCCTCTGCAGTAGAATGCGGAGAAGGGAAGTGGGTCTGTGTGTGAAAGGAATGACAGGGAGGACGTTAATCAAACTGTGGAATAACATAAACAATCTGTAAATTCCTGTTCTAGCTGGAAAATAAGGTCCTTCACTCCTTCTTTTCTTGTCCTTGCCAAAAGCATCCCTGTGTTGGAGCAAACAAAGCATTTGTGGTCACGGGAAAGGGCCCTGGGATTTGGAAGCTTCTTTCAGTTCCTGTGTAAGAGTTGGCACAGCAAGGATGCTCAGCCACTGTAGAGGGGAGTGATTAGGCTACAACCTGCTGGTTATCACGAGGGGGCAAAGATCAAATGATGAGCCTGTGGGGATTAGTGCTTGAATTAACTCTAGAGATGTGAAGACCTGGGTTGGTTTTACACTGCAGGGCTTTGGTGTGACTGCCAGAACTGTTCCCTCCTCCCCTGTCCTCAGGAGCAGGGCTTTCCCAACCCTCTGCATGTGCAGCTCAGCTGGTCAGAGCCTGGTGCTAATACCTGCTGCTAATAACTCCAGGGCTGTGGGCTCAACCCCTGCACGGGCCATTCACTTAGAGCTGGACTTGATGATCCTTGTGGGCTCCCTTCCCACTCAGAATATTCTGTGATTCTGGGAATTTGAAGTCCCCCTGGGATGAGGCAGAGGGTGGGAGCTGGGAGTGGTGGAGCTCAAGACTGGCCTCAGCTGGGCCTCTCAGTCTGCTGAGCAAAGATGTTCAGGGTGGTGGGGCTGCAGATGTTTCCATGCACCTGCCCTTCCTTTTTTGTGGGAGCCAGGGAGTTTGGAGGGAGCAGCTGCAGGGAGATGTGCTCAGTGTGGTCCTGTCTCCTCCAGGCACCACCAAGTTATGGCTCCCCCCTGGAGACTGTGCTTAACTGAGGTGAAAATCCAGTCTCACACTGAAGCTGTGCTTAAAAACATGGTTCTTAAAGTGGGAGCTGAAGGTGTTCAGTGCACTGTGGGGTTTGGTCCTTTCTCTCCTGTGAGTTCCAATCTGACTTTTTTATTAAGCAAACCAATTGCTTTGTCTTCCTCATTGTGAAAAAGCCACGGCTAAAACTTCAGCTTTCCCCTGTGTAATGGGGATTTTGAGTTTTTCAGGAGAGAACAAGCTGGTGGAGAAGCAGACAGACTGATTGCTGCAGGCTGGGGGTCTCAGGGAAGGAGCTGAAGTAATTTACTAAATTTTCCTTTGCTGTGAAAAATTTGTGCAAATCATAACCTGTCAATTTAAAGCAAATGGAGCAAATCTTTGAAGGAAAACCTGAAACTCAGCTTCAGTGACTGCTCAGTGTGTGTCTGGTAGAAGTGCTGGAGGCAATGAGCATGAAGCAACATGAAAGTCAGGGTGGGATCCTGTCATGGCTTTGCTTTGAGCCTGTAACAGAAGCTGACTGAGGAGCAGTCAGAAAAACTCCCTGATCCTTGGAATGTGTTAAACCCTGGCAGCAGCCTGGAACTTACCTCAGAGGTGGAATCCTGGGTCCCTTAGCAAGGAGCCTGAGTGAGCTGCAGTTCTCATGGACCAGTTGTGATGGATTAGAAAGGAAGAAGTATGAACCACTTTGTGGGACTGTCCCCTGTCTGTATAAATTGTACAAATGATTCATCCCTTAATTCCCTGTGTGCTCCCTTAGGACCCTCTTGCAGAGGATATACCACCTACCCTTGGTATTTTTCAGGACTTGTCTCAGCTCTTGGAATTGCTGTGGCAGTTCTGAACTGATGTGACAGGTCAATGTGCTCCTTCACCCCAGGAAATCAGAGCTGGCAATACACTGTCCCTGAATCCTGGTGTTACACCAATGTTTCCTGGGACAAACTGCAGTGCTGGATATGTGCAGGGGGGGAACTTTGGTGACAACTCAGTGTGAGCATCTAATAGGCAAAGGGTGAGAGGTGTGGTGATGGTTTGGTGTGCCCACCCTGAGCTGGCTGCTCAAACTTCACTGGCAGAGGGATAAACTGTAGATTCCCTGGTGCAGGGAGAGGGCTGAGACCCCCTGAATGGGGGAGAGAGATGAGAAAAAGTTAATTCCTTTGCAAGATACTCTGAATCTGTCTTCTGTCACAGCCAGACTTTCTGCACAGGCCAAAGAGCAAGTTAACAACTGGAGCCTCTTGGCTTACCCATCCCAGGGAGAGGATGTGAACCCCCAGTCCCCACTGCACAGTGCTTCTCATTAGTTTTAATGGTATATAGTCATGCTTTCTACTTCTTTCTTCCCCCAAATGCATCTTTAAAAAGGACTTAAATGTATTTATTTTACTTAGCTCACGTAGATATTATTGGACAGGAAACACTTCATAAATAAATGGCTGTTTTATAATTGGCAACAGACTTTGGTATTCAGTAATTGAACAGAGCCTGCTAATGAGTACCTGGCCTCAGAGTGCAGGTCATTCCCACTGATGATAATTAGGCAGTAACCTTCTATTACACTTCAGCATCCTGTTTGCTAATGAGAATTCCCAAATTTGGTGAAAAAACTGTATAAGAAACTGCTGTGGTGAAATAATCTGTCTGTGTTTGTGGAGCAGAACACCAAGGCAAAGCTTCCAGCAGCTGCAGAATCTCATTCCCCGTCTTCCCTCTGTTTCCAGAGGTCCAGGTGACCTGCTGGGCCTCCCCTGGCCCTTGATGCCTCCCCTGGCAGAAAGGTCAGTCACAGGTAGTGCTAAAATCAGTTCTGCCCTGTCAGAGCTCCCTGGGGCACACAAAGCCAGGCTCCCACAGGGATGTGCTGCGTTCTTCCTCTGGCATGTCAGCAAATATGGACAGGAGCCTGTCTCAGAGGCTGGAGCATCACTGGAGCCCCATGGAGCAAAGGAGGAGCCTGAGCTGGGAGTCTGAGCTGGGTCCCTGAGCTGTGCTGCAGGAGACAACGGGATGTGTCCTCCCCAGGAGTGAGCACTGCTCCAAACACTTCCCAGGGTGGGTGCCAGGGTAGAGCTGCCTGAGCCCTGCAGGGACTCCCCAGGTCCCCCAGAGCTGTGGTGGTTGTTCCTTTCAAAGTGGGGATGTAGACTCAGTTCTCCCAGTCTGCTCTCGGGGTGGTTTATGGACCTGGGAGATTCCATCACCACTCTTCCATGAGGTTTGCTTCCCTGGGGCCCCAGACCACACGGGGGATGAGCTGCAGCTCCAGCCCCCAGGGCTGTGCACCCCTCAGGAAACAAGAGACCTGATGAAATCTTCTACAGTGAAGGCACTGAAGTCTTTTTTGAGTGTATTTTTTAACGAGGAAGAGACATAAAGGAATTCTTTTGCAATAGTTATTGCTGCCTGATTTTCACTTTAAGTTAGGGTGGGTGCTTGGAGCATTGGAAACTTAATCTAAATCAAAATAAATATTGCAGTTGGCACTGTAAAAAGCCATTAAGGCCAGTTTTTTATGGTTGTGTAAAAGGATTGGACTGGACTGGGAGATCTGCATCATCTAATTGAGACACCTGCTATTCCACCCCCATCCAAGCTGGGCAACAGCAGGAATGTTTACAAAATGTTTGCTGAGTAGAAGTCCTGAATCTCAAACTTAATCCTGTGAGGTTTGATTTTATTAAAAAAAGAAAAGTATTGATTGTATTTTACATTCTTCATGTTTCTCCTTATTCTATCTTTCAGATTCTTCTACTGCTTCTCAGCTCTGTTCTCAAGTGTTGACTTTCTCTGTTTTTCCACTTGACAGTTCCTGTATAACCTTGTTCCTGCAAAGCTTCCCTCTCCTCACCTGCCACCAGCTCAGACAGTCCTGCCTCCTTCAGTCCCTTGGTGCTCTCAGTCACTACCAGCCCTGCTTCTGAGTAATTCAATCTTCTCCTTAAAACTTCTAAAAAATAAATGCTGGCTCTCTGGGTACCTTTTGCAATCAGGTATTTGAGGCAGCGAGCCGTGATTGTGGAGAAAAAAAATGTTATCTTTTTCTTACAGAATTTATTGTATTGGTTGCTGTTCTTTCCTTACAGATGTTTCAGTTTAAAGTTGGGAAAATAGTTTTCATGTTGGATTTGAGTCATGATACTTGGCTGACATTTCCTTGCCTCTTGGAGCCGACCTGAATTTTGATCGGTGTTGCCTCAGTCAGGGGCTGCTCAGCTGAACCCCCGCAGTTCTTGGTCCTGCTCTCTCGGGGCTCACGGGCACTGGCACGGCTTTGCTGGGCACTGAAGAGTTGGACTTGGTTTTCAGAGCAGGGCAAAGACCCCCAAATAACAGCTGGGGCAGTTTCAGCACCATGTGGGAATCCGGCTCCTCCTGCCCTCGAGCGCTTGGCCAAGCCTGGCCCGAAGTGTAAATCACTGTCTACACGTACAGTGGTTAGAGGCAGAGACAGCCCTGCCAAAGACATGCTGCTTCATTTGAGTTTGGGTGAAGTAAACAACAACTGGCTGTGCATTTGATTTGAAGTCACAAGCAGCTTTGAGGACACCCCCAGGTGTGCTCTCATAAATCAGGTTAAAAGCGAAAGAAGTTGTAACCCCTGTGGCTGAGACCTGAGAAGTGGCTCTGTGGGATGTTTTAATGTAGAGCTAAACAGCTTAGCCTACACTTGTGCTGTTTTGTTGGGAGTGTTGGGCTCCAGAATAACTTTGGAGAGGGAGGTGTGACGTGAAGGGAGGGCGATGATGGTGCCTCCATAACCCTTCGGAGGGACCCGTGGTGAGTGCAGAATAACTGGCACTGGGGACTAAGGCAAGATTGTGCTGGGATGGTGGAGAGCTTGGCATCCATCACCTTCTAACAGCTCAAGAGGAGCAGTGTCACCTGGTTGGCTGGTTTAGGTGAAAAGCTGAGATTGTGCCATGAATGCAAAGTGCACCCCTGAGTTAAGCGTTAATGTGAGAATGAGAGCACTCACGCTTTCAGAGCTGGGTTTCTGTAGCAACCAGCCTGAGGTACTTCATGACATTTTGTCTGTCTTTTAGATTTTGAAGAAATCCTGCATAGAAATCCTGGCAGCAGAGCCTTCCAGTATTTGTGCAGGGGGTAAGTACAACTGAGACCACAGTCATTCGTGTTGCCTAGAATACAACTTTCAGTCCATCTCTAATTGCTGGAAAGTGCACAAGTCACTGATTACTTGGGGCTAAATCTTTTGCCTTTTTTTTTTGTTGTTGTTGCATTTCTTTTTCACCTTAGAATAGTTTGCACAGCTCCCACTTCTACCAAATTATGTCAAGTGGGATTTTCTTACAGAAAAGACCTGAACTCCATACTTTCCCCTAAATGTTCTTCTGTCAAAGCAGTCTGTCTTACTCGGACTGTGCCAGACTTGAAGTAGTTATGCTGCATAATTACAAACCAAATTAGGCAATAAGCCTTTGATTGGGTTCAGAGTTTTGCAAAATTCATCATCTTGGAGGATTGGTGAGGGAAGTGCTTCAAAAGCTATGAAGAACATCAGATGGGCACAGTTGGATCTGAAGGCTTCCAATAGTCTTGGAACATTTCTCAGGCATTTAGGGGCGATACAGTGACTGAGGACTAGAGTGTAACCATCAGTCTGCTGCTCCTGTGTTCATCCTGTCCTCTCTTTGTCCTTGCTCTGACCTGACTGTGGCTCTAAAGCCCTGCAAGTGCCTCTTCATTCAGCAGGACCCAGCCTTTCCAAAGCAAGCTAGAGAATCATTTTGACCTCTGCCATCTGCTTCTGTGAATTCTTCAAGTTTTATGAAGTGCATCCCAGCTGTTTGTTGAGTGTGTAGCACTCCCTGAGTAGAGAGGCTGGGAGCCCAGCTGAGGTTTGTGGAGAAGGACAAGTCCCTGACAAGTTCTGCATCTTTCTTTACCATATATTGACAGTCTCAGTAAGTAACACAGTTGTTACTTATTTGTCTTCACTTCCAAAGCAGCTGCTTTAATGATCCTGTTCCTGGAGGCACTGCCTGCACACCTGAACATCCAGAAGTAGCCACATTTTCCCAGCAGATGCACACCGGGCTAAATGCCCAATAAGTACCTGGCATCAGGTTTATGTTCCATATGTGCCACATAGCTTTGATTTTTGAAGCCAGGATGGCATAATTGCCATGAATTATGGTACTTAAGCATCATTTTGGCTGTTCAATTAAATAGTTTCTGTGTTAAAATAGGCTCCAAGGCAGGGCCCTCTCTACCTTGGCATGGTGGATGATTGCTGTGACAGTCTCAGCGTGCAGTGATGTTCCATAAATGCTTGGGAAGGGAAATGAAATTGCAGGAACATTCACATCCACTTTACACTCTTGGAGATTGTTTTAAAGATATATTTACATACTTATTCAAGTGATAAACATTGCTGCTTATATAATGTCATGAGCCAGAAGATGACTTATAATCATCATTTATAACCATCTTTAATGCTTTGTCAGTTGATTCATCACTCCCATTCCTTGTGCCTTAGGGAAGGCAGGGTGGGCACAGCTGTACCCAGCAGAGTCAGCTGAGAGGAAATGCAGAGAGGTTTAATATAAACTCTTCACATCAGAAATTGGCCAGTACTTCACAAGAGGAGCAATGTTATCCTTGAAAAATGCCTGTAGTTATTTAGATCCTCAATTCAAAGGCCCGGTTTCCAAGTTTGGGCAAATAGTCCATTGCTCTCAGACTGCAGGGAGTTTAATCTCTCAGGGCTCTGAGAGTAATGAAAGTGCCATTGACTATGAAAATTATGTGCATTAGTGTCTTTAAAATAAATGTTTGCAGGTGTAGCTGTGATACCTCGTGTTTTTGTGTTTCTGTGCACATCCTTGGAGAGTGGTGGCAGTTTTTTCTTTTTTTTTCTTTTGCAAGGAGGAAACGTGGGCTCTGTGTTACCTGAGGCCACTCTTGTGCTGCTGACCAGTCCCAGAAACTGCAGGAATTAATTTCATCATTCTGGAACGGCAGTTGCTGGATGATTTGGCTTTGCAGGGTGAACTGTACAGTTCATTTCAGCCTCAAGCAGAGCCAGGGTCTCCATGGCCCAGCTGACATCACTGATACAGGTCTTTGACTGTACTTGAACTCTCATTCCCCAGCAGTTGAGACTTCTGTGATTTCTCTTAAGGATTCACCAGCCCCCACACTCCAGAACAGAGCTCTTGTCCCCCCTCCCTATTCTTCCCAAATGCTCTCAGACAACACACAATGGGCCTGTGAGCAGCTTCCCTGGCTGGATGTGCTGGGATGATTTGCAACTTGGCTGTAAAGGAACGGGACCTGGAAGAGAGCCCAGATTCCAGAGCAAAGCTGCTTTTTCTGACAAGTACAGTGCACGGGTCCTTGGGGGAGATGAAAGGAGATGAGGACTGTAAAATGCAAAGGGGAGAAATCTGAACCTGCAAAACCTCAGTTCCTTGGTGCTCCTGGGGACTCTAAACCAGGGTGGTGTCCCTGGAGCACTGAGGTCGCTCCTGCCTTGTCTTGAGGTTACTCCTGCCTTGTCTTGGGCAGTGAAACATTCTGTGTTCAAATCACATTCCCCAGCCAAACTTCAGTGGGGATTAGCTGAGTGACTCTCCCAGATAGTCACAGGAATTGTGGGGGCTGTTTCCTCGCCCTGGGGAGCAGCAGAGCTGAGTCCCTGGATCTGCTGCCAGGACTGCTCTGGGACTGTGGCCCCGAGTCAAAAGCTGAGAGTTTGAAGTGGTGCTGGAGGCTGCAGGAAGTCCATAAACCTTTCCCAGTCCTAGGCTGAAGTAATTGGAATATCAAGGGATGGTAGAGAGTGGTCTCAAAGGCTGGTGAGGATGTGATCTCATTGCTCAGCCCTGCCTGCTCCGAAGGGCACCGCTCAGCTCAGGGCTCAGGTGTTTGTGACTGTCCTTGGTGCTCCCTGCTGGCACCCACAGCCTCTGGAGACCCTGTGGAGTTGGTCTGGGAAAACAGCAAAGAGGAAGACTTGGGGAAATGCCCACAGACTCTGAGATCAGACTTTGTCCAGAGACTGAAACCTTGGTCTGTTGATAAAATCCCCTGTCATCGCATGGAAATGAGTCCAGTCAAGGCCTCGCGGTGGTTGCACAGCAGTAGGGCAGGACATGACAAAACTCAGGGCAACTGACACAATTTTGGGAAAGTAACACTTAAACTTCTCCAAATTATCTGGCACTAGAAGATTTTTTTCCTTTCCATGGAAAGATACTTCTGCCTTTCTTCACCCAAAACTTTCTGCCATTTAAACCTTGTCCCTAGCACAGGCCACCTGGGGAGGGCAAAGCTCAATGTCCCCAAAGCTTCCTGTTTTCACTGCAAGTCTGTTAAAATGCCTCTGTAGTGAATTGTTTCCTGTTTCTAAAAATTCAACCTGAAATTGGGTAGGGAGAGAGTGGAAGTTCAATTTTTAACCATTTTCAAACTTAAAAGTTGTTCAGCTGTGAGCTCAAGAGATAGCAAGTGAAAACTTTGGAGATGTGCCTTGTCTAAATGACCTTTCCTTGCCTTGCTCTGTGTGAAGTCCAATGCCTGTTCTCCTGCAGAGTCCTTCCAGGTGGTGGTGAGGGGGAATGGATTCCGACACGCCCGCAACGTCGACCGAGTGCTCTGCAGCTTCAGGATCAACGACACCGTCACTCTCAGTGAGCTGCTCTCTTTTCTTTTATTCTCCTACTCTGCACTGGCAGGACATTTGGGATCTTGATTGTGAAAGCAGTAATTGTGGGACTCGGAGCTTTTAATTTGCAGAATGCAGAAGGGATTATTTTTTTTTAAGAGGAAAATCGCTGGTGGCAATTCCTGTGCTGTGACAGCAAGGATGTGAAGCTCGAGGGGGATGAAAATATAGAAGACAAGAATCTTGTCTGTAAAGAGCATCAATACGTGTCTTGCTGGGCTGTGTGCAGGGGGATCAGGGGTGTTTCTCTCCTCACCTGTGTTTTGTGGCACTCAGAGGGCCTGGTCCTGCAGCTCAGCTGCACACGGTTGTTGGGACTGTGTTGGAGCAGTGGCTCAGGCATTGCTGGGCTGCTGTGGAAGCTCAGAAAAATGTTCCCTCTTCTGCCCCAGCAGAAGAACTGAAGCAAGAGAAGCAAATTAGCCCCCAAGTGTCTCTTTGTGAAGTGCAGGGGGAGCACTGAGCTGGCAGAACTAAGGACCCCTCTGCTCTCACCTGGTGTGTCTGGAGCTACGTGGGAAAGCAGAGAGCTCAGAGCTGGCAGCACCAGTGACAGCAGAACTCAGCTTCCCTAGCATGGAATGTGTGCAGAAGCTGATCGTTCTGGAGGCAGTCCTGACCCTTTCCAGCATAATGTGTTAATTAGTTTCTCACATCTGGAAGTCTAATGGCTCAGTGCTGCACATGCTCGTGCTCTGAGCATCAGTGTGCTTTGCTGCTTGGAGCAGAAGTTGGCCAAGGCTGCTTGCCCTGTTTGGGATACCAAGGAGCATTCAGGGCAGGTGGAGGACAGTGAGTGCTTGTAGCTGGTCCTGAAAGGCTTTTGTGCTGTTGCATTTACTCCTCTTAGTAGGCAGGTTCTGGACTTGCCCACCCTTGTGCCACCAAGCAGAAAGTTTGACTGGCTGTGGGTCACGTTTGCTTGAGTCAGATATGGTGAGTGTTGAGCATGGGAAGAGCAGAAGCTGGAGGGCTCTGGAGCCAGGCATTCATTCCTTTAAACATCCTAAAGCCTTCACTGGGAATGTCATCCATCAGCTTTCCACTGTTCAGTGCCCTGTCTGTGGACTCACAGACACATCCAGTGCTGCCAATGGGAGGAACTGTGAGTGAGGGTTCCCTCACCCCCCAGCACTGTGAGCTGGGGGGAGGGGGGAGGAGGGAGACTTCTTCCTCACTCTGTGCTGACTGCTTGTCTGGACGAGTTTTTTGTGGTATCTGTCATCATCATTTCACAGGAGTTGTCAGGAAAGATCAGCTTATCTTAATGCAGCCCCTGAGTTTTTTTATTTGAAGCTGCCTTCCTGTGTCCACAAAATAACTGTGGAAAATGAGGATAAAGGCCAGATATGTTTCCTGCCCTGTGCCCTGATGCATTCCTGGTGTCCTGAATTACTGCAGAGGTGAAAAGTGAGCTCACTGTCCTTGGCACTGCACCAAGACCTCTCCGTGTGTCCTGCACAGCCCCGGATTGTTTGGGGCAGTGACATGGCCACAAACCCAAGTTCTGAGTTCCACCCACCCCCTGACTGAGGGAACTCAGTCGTTGCTCATCAGTGCTCCCAGACCCAGGTCTCTCCAGGTGGGACTGGCCCAGCTCTGTTGGGTTTAAGTTGCTCTGTGAGAGAAGTCCCAAAACGTGCAGTCCCAACCCGCTGCTCCTTGGGGCATCCAACTGCAAACAGCCCACCATGAGAGTCAACTGAGTGAGGAGTGTATGGACAGCTCATGCAGCTTGGATGGCTCAGCTGTCTTTGTTTGCTTGAAGCCTCTCAGCCTCTGATGGTATCAGGGAGGGAGGTATTTTTACAGATAACACTAAGCCAACAGTTCCTGAAACCTTAAATTATCCCAGATGAGATGTAGTGAGCACAACTAGGACGTGCTGAGGTTAAAGGCATGAGCTAATGGGGTTTTATTGGGATTGTTGGCAGAGAAAAGTGGCAGGTGAAGAGAGCAGCGACTCATAATGTTCATAGCTATGGGATAAAAAAAAAGAACATCTGTAGAAGCCATGAGGAATATTTGGCTGAGGGGAACTGTAATCAGATGCATGTTCAGCAGCAGGGTGTTCCTGCCAGCAGCAGGACCTGGGAGAATTGGTTTCAGCCTGCACAGAGTTAAAAGTGATTATCCAGTGTAGTGACTTATGACTGCTCTGTGGTGCTAAAATGTCTGTGTCTGCCCAAATTGTGCAGGATCCAGCCAAGACAGTTCTGGGCAGGGAGGCGAGCTCTGTCCTGGGCAATTTAAAACTGAATAGAGAGATGAAAGGTTGGTGAAGAACCAGCAGGCACCACAGCAGAGGTGCTGCATTCTAGTGGATGCTCTGGATGCTTGGCCAAGCCCCAGCCTTTGCACAAACTGGTCTGATTTTTCTTTTTTCAGACACTGGGAGCAGGACTGTGCCAGGTATGAACAGAGAGTGAGGTGTGTGGGGAAATGTATCTCCGAACTGCCCAACAAATGTCTTCTAAAAGTTGTCTTCTGTTTTAAAAGCCTTTCAGATTCCTCCATTTTCCCCATCTTTCTTTTTTGTGATATCTTCTTTACTTTCTTGCAGCCTGATCACTCTTAGCACAGGAATATTTTGCTTTGCTGTTCAACTTTCTAATCCCTGATTTCCGCACTTGATCATGTCACTTTAACCCTCCTCTGAACCTTTCCTTTTTATTTTCTAGCAGTAGCTTTTCTCTTTCCACTGTGGTACCAGAGAATGTCCATCACTGTACAAACTCCACCAGGTGTTTTGGGGAGTGTGACCTTTATGAGGGACACAACACATGCCTTTAATGTTTCCTGGGTGAGAACATGCACCAAGGGGAGCTTGGCATCCTGGTTTGAGGGGTGGCCCAAGTCATTGTTTGGCAAAGAATACAAAAGCAGAAGGAATGGTCACACTTCCCTCAAATGCTCTCCCAGCCTCCAACAAACTGCAGTGTCAGAACCTTTAACCAGGATTCCTGTGCCTTTGTCTCCAGCAGAATTCCCTGCAGCTGCCCAGGCTGAGTGTGGAGGAACAAACCCAGGGCATCAGGACACTTGGGCTGAGAGAGGAGGAGAATCCCTGTGCAGTGTGAGGGCTTTGCCAGGCTCACCCAGTGACCCTGTGTGCTGCTGGGGGACCGGGGGGTCTCTTACTGTGGCACCAGCTGCTCATGGGGCAGCTCTGGGCTTGGAGCTGCTGCAGGAAGGCCAGGACTCCCCTGGGAGGGACCTGCTGTGGGGCAGCACGTGCTGCTCCTGAGCTGCCAGCTGTGAGCAGGAGCAGATGAAGGCTGGGTGCTGTGCCAGGGTCTGTTTGCAGCCTCAAGGCTGTGACTGCTCATCCAACAGTTGTTTGCTCAGCACGTGAACCCATCAGAGGAAAAGTGAGTCCTTCCAAATCCCTTCTCTCCATCTCGAGACTGTTCTGGATGTGATATCACTGTTCTGTGCTTATCTGTCTGTTCCCCATCCCCTAACTCTGCTCTCAATGGCTTTGGCATTCAGAGCTCATGTATCCCTACACAAAGCAGAGCAATTACAGCCTGATCTCAATGTGGTTTTCATTACAGCATTAACAAAACATTTCTTATTTATGGGCCTCTCTTGTAGGCAGTTTCTCCAGCTCAGAGAGTGTTCCAGTGTCTTCCTGCATTCCCAGCTCCCCGCAAAATGGGTTTGAAATACAAACTTTACTTGCAGAGTTGTCACAGAGAGTGGCATGAGAGGAGGACTCAGCCAAGAGGAAAAGAGACTGTAATCTGGGCAGACAATTAGGGAGGTATTTTGGCTCATCTGAGGGACAAAGGGACAATGGAAGTGCTCAGGGTGACTGAACAGCCTTCCTAGCACAGGAGTTCCCCAGGGAGTCTGCGGGAGAGCAGCCAGTGTCCCACCCCACCTGAGCTGGACTGGTCTCACAGATAAGTCTCCTCTCCCGCAGAAACAGGAAACTGGGGCAAAGCATCTTCTGAGATGTGCTTTAGTTGAATGCAAATCCTAAATACAGGGACAGCAGAAGGAAATTTAGTCTGTGATATAGGGGAAATTTGGCAAACAGCTTTTGCAGCCTCTTCTGGACTAAAATATTGCTGATGCTGTGAGTCCAGCAATGCTGGATGCTTGCAAGACTGCAGTGGCAGTTTGGAAATGCTGGGCTTTCCTAAACCCCTCTGGGAGGGTCCTTGCAGCCAGATTTCAGGGCACCGGTTGGGTCTTGGGTGAACCACTAACTAAGGAGAAGGCTGTTAATTTTGGCCTGGTTTTATGGCTAAAAGAAAATGCTACTCTCTGTTTGGTCACCTTCTTGGGTTTTTGTACCTCTCTTTCATTGAGGTTTCTCTTCTGTATTAGAGCATCATGCCTATATTGAGGCTTTTATCATTATGGTTGGGAAGTATTCCAAGTCCTGGCTTGCCAAAAGGTTACACCCTGCTAATGGCATAAGAAACTATTCACTGTTGCTGGGAATAATAGATTTTACAGGCTACAGATAGTTGTTAAAGGTGTAGGAGTGCTGGGTAGGGAGTTACAGGGATCTGTGCAGTATCAGGCATCTTGTTGAAAGGGCATTCACAGCAAATGGATGTGGTTTATGAGAGGTTTGACCCTTCATTTGTGCACACCCTTCAATGTCTCAGGCCTCAGGACTGGCTGGTTTGAGTTGTCTGTGGGTTTGTCATGTCCTGTTTTATACAGTGAGAACTTTATTTTGCCTAGAGAGATTAGAGGGCCGCAGGTAGGGAGCAGGTTGTGCCATTACTGAGGGCAGCCCTTCTCAGAAGTGCAGCATTGCAGTGTTTCCTGAAGATGTCCAAGCTCTGCCTGCAGTGTCTGAGAGCTGAGCAGGACCTGGGCATCCCTTCCATAAAATTGTCAGAGGAGGCAGAGTGATTCCTGCACCATTCCCTGAGCAGCCCCAAGCCAAGAACCGAAATGACGTCCTGGGCAGGAAACTCAGCGACACCGAGTCGAGCGCTCCGCCCTCCCTTCCACAGCCCTGCCACCAGCACTGTCAGCGGAGAGCAGGCCAAACCACAAAATCCACATTCTGGCACGAGCTCTGGAGTTTGGGAGCACTCAGCCCCATCTCTCACTGCTCTGGGATGCAGCGAGTTTGTTCCGCAGCAGACACGAACCGCGTCCTTCTCCCAAACGCATCCTGCAGATCCGCCGCGAGGGCAGACGAGAAGTGTTGTTTTGTTTGGTTTCCCTACGTGAGTTTTCCAGGAAGGAGTCAGATGGCCAGAGTTATGCAAACCAAATGGATCTTCTTTTGTTTAGAGCAAAGGAAAATAGTCCCTCATTTTTGCGGTGGAACACAAACATTCTCCAAACAAACTAATCTCTCCCTGTAGCCAGCCTGGCCAGCCTTGAGCTCCCTCGTGGGACTGCAGGGCTGATAAACTTTCTAGAGAGGCATGGACTGATGCAAGTTGGGGGTGGGAGGGGAGAGAAAGAGAAACAAAAACCTAATGAGATCTAAGTAAAAGGCCTTGCAAGATGAAGCAGCTTTTGTTCTAGTGAATGCTGGCACAGGGATGTCTTTGGCCTTGGCTGCCAGAGTTAGCAAAGGAGAAAACAAGACATTGGTCTTCATTTTCTTGGCATGTGTGTGCTGAGACAATGTCATAAATTTATGGCAGTTAATGATATCTTCATAAATCAGGGTGAGAACAGCACTGTGGGGCCAGATGAGCCACCACTGCACATCTGCCCAGAGTGGGAAATGCTGCTGCCTTGGCTTGGTAACTCCACTGCAAACCCAGGGCCTGCATGTGCTGCAAGGTCCCCACGAGCCCAGAGCTGGGCTGGAGGAGATGGGAAGTGTGTGGGGGGGTGGGATTACTGCCCTGCACCCTCTAAGTGCCTGTGTTCTGCCTGCCATGCCCTGTGATAGGAAGCATCTCCTGGAGTGTGGGGCTGGCAAAGGAATACCCTGTGCTAAAATCAGCTGCTCCTGATGTTCAGCATACTGGAAATGTTCCTGCACGTTCTTGCACTGAGGCTGAGGGAAGACAGCACTAATCTGGCACTTTCCAGGCCAAGAGCTGGAGCAGGGATCTAGAGGGATCCCAGGAGCTCTGAGCCATGGGGCAGAACCAAAGCCAGGCTGTGGAAACCATGTGTCTGCCCAAAATGTTTCATGTTCAGCTGTTGGCCTGGGTCAAAGAGTCCCTGACAAAACAACTGCTGTGGGTAACCCAGAAATTCAAGTGTGTATGTGTAGGCATGGGATTTGCTGGAAGCTGCAGAACGTCAGGGAAGGTTACAACTTTTCATTACCATTTTTTTTTCTTTTTTTAATGGAGTGTAAAAAATAAACAGTTCCTAACCTGCCTGAGAAAATCTCCTTTTATATTGCTGCCAAAGCCAAAAAATACACCAGTATGAAATAGGGATTCTAATGTGTGACAGGAGTTACCAGAGCAATACTTCTGCTTTCTAAAACTCTGTATTTGGTGGGAACCTCTTCTAGGAATGTCTGGGAAGGAATGCTTGGCTTGGTGAGTTCTGCTTCTGCATGAGGGGGCAGACTGTTGCACTCAGTACCTCTTTGTGCCTCATTCACCGCAGTAAATTGGGCTGCATGACCCTGATTGTGAGGGAACCCCCTGAGCTGACACTGGGGTCAGTAGTGCTCTGCTGCTGGTGCCCTGGTCAGCATTAGACACCATCCATGTGGACAAACTCACCTCAGCAGCCAAGGGAAGGAGGAACAAGGCTCACAGCTGATGCAGAAAGTGCTTTGGAGAAGTTTGCCATGTTCTCTTTGGCTTGTGTCTCCTCATGGCTTTTCCTCTTTCCACTGGCACCTGAAATGGAGTCGTAACTTGCACAAGTTTCCTCAAAAGCAAAAGACCAGTTGGCCAGAACAGTTCAGCTCTTCATTCCATGGCTTGATTAAACTTTCATCCTTGCTCCTTTCCTTTCTTGGTGCTACCAGTGGGGCACTGGGCACTGACCTTGCTCCCCTGTGTGTTCTGAGCACCCTGGGAATTAATTCAGTGCAAGATGCAGTTGTGAAGAGACTTTAGATGGTCTGAGAGCCAGGGTTTGTGTTTGTGATGTCAAATAACTCAGCAAGAGGGTGGTGACTTGTGCTCCTGTTCCACGGTGGCCCCGTAGAATGAACGTCCCATCCATCCTCAGGGTACAGAGATAACACTGAAGGTGAGGTTTGAAACCTGCAAGTTTGAGAGGCCAAGGGGAAGGAATCTGTCAGGAGCAGAGGGGATTTCAAACAGAATAAAATGTTTAACTGGAAAATGTTAGGAAGCTGGTAGTATTTGGCAACAGCTCATTTCAGGTCTATAAGCATCCCTGTGAAGGCCCTCGAGGTGGTCATGGGTACAGCTGGTAGAAAGATTTCTGATGCAGGGACATGCTTCTGGAAATGCTGATCCAGCAAATCAATCCTTCCTGTGGAATGTTTTGGTTTCCAGTCCAAAAAACAACCACCACCCAGCCTGTCTGCCTGGTTTTCTGTCAATCTGCCCCACCTCTAGTCAGCTGGCAAATGGGCTGGGAAGTTCCTTGGGATCCACATCTGTCTGATTACCTTGGGATCCCCATCTGTCTGACTTAAGTCTACAGAAGAAGAATATTAGTTAATGTTCCTGTTTCCCAGGCAATTGCCTGTTGATAATTTTTCTCACTCCACTTTTAAACCCACAGTATAATTCGGGCTGACAGGTTTAATTTAGTTCAGATGCATCTGCCTAAAAGTGCAAATTTTCCCATAATACACGATTTTCTTTGCTTGGATATTTGCAATTATATGTAACCTGCTGCAACTCCCCAAGGGCTCCTGTATAGAGTGGCTGTGATCCTGGCCCCTGACCTTCCAAAAAGCTCTGTACCTTCAGCTGTGTTGTGGCTCAGATAAGTGACACGGCTCTTCAACCCCCACAGTGTTTGACCTCGTTTATGTACCAAGAGTGAGGAAAACCATTATTTAACCTGCTCTTTCAGGGCCGGAATACTGATCAGGTAATAAATCCCAGTATTTCTCTTTTCCAGATGAGAAGCCCTTTGTGGTGGAGGACACCTACCTGCTGTGCCCAGCACCTGTGCTGCGCGAAGTTGGCATGTATGTTTTTGCCACTCAAATATTTACTTTGCCTGTGGGAAGATGAGTGTGGGTCACTTTGTTATGTTCTGCTGCTCTTGTATAGATCTAATGCTGACATTATTTCATGCTCATTGTGTTAATTGACATTAACTATGCACTGGAGCACAGGGGCAAGTGCACCACCAGTGGGAATTAACCTGCACAAAAGGCTCTTCTGAGCATCAGCAGCCTGGGTTGCACTGGATGGTGTCAAGCAGAGGGTTGGGGACCAGCTGGCCTGACTTGGTTCTTGTGGTTCCTTTCCAGGGAAGCAGCTCTTCAAGTCAGTATGAACGATGGGCTGAGCTTCATCTCCAGCTCCGTCATCATCTCCAGCACACACTGTGTAAGTCTGGACCCAAGTGCCTGAGATGATTCCGGGGGGGTGGAACTCAACTGCAGGTGTTTGTTCCAGCAGGTGTAGGGCTGCCCAGTTGGGTCAGCCTGGTTGGGAAGGACCTGTTTTCCCCTTTCAGGTGAGTTTGGGTGCTTGGTAATATGACATTTTGTATATCCTCTGAGCCACAACGTGGCAAAGCTCTTGAGCCTTCGGTAAATGCCTCAAACGACTCCTCTGCTGTGGGACTGGCAGAGCCCTGGAGGGGTCTGTGCCTGCTTGTCCACTGCCCAGGGAACAAGCAGCAGCTCTGCTGCTGTGTTTCCTCTGCAGCAATGGTGCTGCTCATTGTGGAAGAAGTGTGGCAGTTGGGATCAGACCCTTTGTCTGGAAACCACCAGTGTGGTGGCCAAAAATGTGGTGGATTCTCCCCTGAAGTAGCTGACTTGTGGCTGCATCCTTCCTTGCCAGTGGGGAATTGCTGCACTCAGGCTCTGCTGGAATGAGGATGATGAAACCATTTCTAACTCACAGTGTTGCTGGAGATGCTGCTTCTACTGAGTCATGGCTGTTGGGAACAGGGCATGGAATGTCTCGTGCTGGAGGAGGTAGAGGAGGAATTCACTTGGAGCTCAGAGCAATCCTTTCTGCTTCAGCTTTATCCGTCTGTGGGAAGGCCTATCATGGCACAGGCCATTGGTGAAGCAGTGCTTTACTTCTCCTGTGAACTGACTTAAACCAGTTTTTGGGAAGCCAGAGTAGTCTTGCCAGAAAGACTTAGAAGTCTGTACCCAGCCTGCTTTTGTCCCTGCCCAGTAAAGGCCTGCTGTGTTCCTGAGCAGAACAAGGGCAAGGCCAAGTTGTGTGACATGGGGGCACCAGAAGTGTTCTGTGTCCACAAAGGCTGAGCCAACAGCTGAGAAAAGTCCTTTGTGTCACTCGAACTTGATCCTTGTTCAACAAGGACAAGATTGTATAGAGAGACAGTTTTCAGAGCTTACAGGAGGGGTTATATTCCAAAAGTGACAAAGATTTCCTTATGCCTTAAAAGAAGGCAGTTTATTTGAGTAGTTAATTTTTAGTTCTAGTTCACTGCTCACCGGCAAAAATGTATCTGCACGTTGTCAGCAAATTCAAGGAATGTTTTCCTGTGTTTTATTCGTATGAGGCAAGACCTGGGAAAGAATTCTCAGAGAAAAATAATTCCTTCCTCATATGCTTTCTTCCAGAGATGGAATTATCATGTGTAGGTGATAGGTGATGAAATATCTCCTTCTCTTCTATTGTTTAATAGCTGTAAGGAAAGCTTTGCAAGCGCCTGTGCTCCCTGGCACTGCCCTGCACAGGCACTCTGGTGCCTCCAGACTGTGAAGCTGCATTTGCAGTGCAGCTGAGCAGCCAAAATTCCAACCCAGATCCTGCATCCAAACCTAAATTCAGTGGCTGCTTCGAAAATTATATCACAACCTTCACTAATCGAGGAAGTTTCTCCTGGGTAAACACATGTTTTGTCTTTGTAGTAGTGTTTTATGTTTCAAATTCTTTTTAAATATGAAGCTGTTTGCTGAGACTGCAATGCTCTCTTTAATTAGGGTTACGAGGGCTCCAGACCTGAAAATGCCCCTCGACAAAATGTCACCAAATGACTTGTTTAATTGATTTCAGACCTGGAAGTTGGATCTGTTTGAAGATCTGCAGCTGAAGTGGGAGAGTTGGAGAGGTGGGGAATGAAGGGATGGTAACACACAGGGTTACCAGGTTTTCTTCCCTGTGTGCAAACCAGGAACCAGTGCTTTGGGTTTGTGCTGTATTTCAGAAATGATCGGATTTGGAAAGAGGTCTGGAGTGTCATCTCCAAAAAGCTTCCCAGATGGCACTGATGGAACGTGGCAGTGCCACACTCGCTGGGCTGCAAATGCCTCAACCCCCAAAGCCATCATTGCTCCCCAGAATTGCTGCTTAATGGCAGAAGGAACAAAGCAAGGGTCTCAATGGCCTGGAAAGCTTTGCCACTTATTTTCTTAGGCAGCTCCACAACAAAACCTTCCTGTGCAACATGTAAATAATCTGCAAATATCCCATTTTCCCTATAGCAATAGCTGGCATGTTCTAGCAGCTCCCCCTTTCCAAGGACTCTCTGGGGATAATGAGGGAAGAAAATTCAACTAAGAGCACAGCTGAAGCAAACAGCTGCATTCCTGGCAAGGAAAGACCCAAAATGAACAGTCACAAGAGTCAGATGGACCTTGACTCCTAAGTTGTGCATGTAAGGTACTTGAAGATCAGGACAGAGAGAGCCTAGACACTGAACTGTCTAATAAGCATTTTTATCACCCTAGCTGGCAAAAATTTTAGTGTAAGTTTTCATGGTAGGGAAATTTGGACAGTTTCTCATGGGTTAATAGGGCAAAGCTATTTTATACCAGCATAGCTCCTGCCCTTCAGTTAGTATCTAAAAACTCCTTGGAATGATCAGCAAAATAAATGTCAGTTTTATTGAGCAGTAAAAACTCTAGAAGAAACAATACTTTTCATCTTCGTAAGGTCACCTTTTGGAAAGAAATAGGGGATCAGAAGGCCTTTGCCTTTTCAAGAAGCTCATCACAGTGTAACCTGACTGCTGGGAGTGACAGGAGGGAAGAGCACCACCCACTCCTGTGCTCCCTGTGCTTCCTGACACCGAGTGCACCTGCAGAGAATGGGATACTGGCATGAGAGAATGGGATACTGGGATGTTCTGCCTTGCACAGTGCCATCATTTTTGTGAGGGTGCCAGTTAAAAGTGCTTTTTGCAGACTGTGCTCCTTCAGGTTCAGGCTGTGTGTGTGGCAGGAAGTGTCTGTGTGACCCCGTGTGTGTCTGTGGACACGCCTCTGCAGGGTAAACTCACCCCACAGGGCCAAACTGAGGAGATTAATTGCAATTTTTCCCCTTGAGGTGTGAAATCTGCTACAGCATTTCAAGGGGGAGAAATGTGGGAAGGTCGGGAAGGCAGAGACATGGAATGACTGACTGAATCTGCTTCTTGATCTGAGAGACACTGAACTTCCTCTCGCTCTCCAGCATTGAGTTACACTGCTCACACCTGTCAGCATCACATTGGACCTCTCTGGGCACTGGTTGGGGGTTGGATTTTTTGTTTTGTTTAAAGGAGCCAAATGAACAGGTAGAACAGCCTCAGAGGGGCTGCCTGTGCTTCCAGACCCAGGATCCCCCTGCCTGGGCTGCAGGGGTCTGTGGGTCCTGAAAAGTGTCAGGCTGCAAGGTTTGCAGCCCAAAAAACAGTGCAAGGGGTGTCAGAAGTTGAACTGTGTTGGTTCTGTTGTATTCTGCCTTTTGTTAACTGCTTGTGCTTTCCAATATCAGAGAACAGGCATGACTGTATGTGCTTTATACCTCCTTCTCTGTGGGACTCAAGGAATTGCTGGTTTAGATTCCCAATGTAAAACTGTTAGAAGTGCTTAAATTTTGTTTTTTTAAAGTGAGTCTCCAGGCTTTCCTGTTACCTCACTACAGTTCCTACTGTAAAAAAGTAATTGGCTTCTCATTTAACTAAAAAAAAAAAAAAAGGTGTGGGAGAGACCTGTAAAGATGCTTTTTTGGAGAGATCTTTCAGCATTTTAATTTTAAAGTACATTTTGGGAAGATTTGCAGCCACATCAAAGTGGTCTCAGCTGCCTCAGGTGGAGCACAACATGCACTTAAAAAAATAATCAAAATTCTTCTCAGTTGGCCCAGTTCTTTTCAAGCCTGAGGAATGGAACAGGCCATGGGAGGCCTTGGGGATTTTATTTTGTTTTATTTCCTCAGGCTTTTTCAATATGAGGTTTTAGAGGCAAGAGTTGATTTCACGTGGGAGGCTCTTCTAAGTCCCTTGTGATGAGTCTTAGTCTGGAATTTACCCACTCAACAACTGAAACCCCAAATGCTGCCTCAGAGCAAAGGGTGACTCCCTGACCTCGTGCAGGGGTGCCCTTTAGTCAAAGGTGGAGTTGTCATCTTCTGGAGATGGTAAAAGGCACTGACAGGAACTGCATGGGAATGCTCAGTTCCCAGAGTGCAGTTGAAGAAGAGGAAAAGAGAGGGAAAAAGATAGGCCTGTGTTAGTAGAGGGCACTTTTTTGTCCTGGTTAATGCAGCTCCACCTCCCACTCCTGTGTGAGTTCCTCAGGAGCTGTGCTTTTGTTGTGTGGTTTTTACCATCTTGGCTTTGCTGCTGGTTTTGGTGGCTCTGAAGTCTAACAGGAAACCTGGCTGGGCAATGCCAGGTGCTCTCAGGAAGGTGAAGTACCAGAGGATGTGTCTGTTCTGTCTGTCAGGAGAGGAAAACAGAGACACCAGGGTATTGCCTCCACTGCTTTGAGGTGATAAAGCAAACCTGCCCCAGCTAATCTTGTCCCCACGGGGGTTCAGGGCTGCAGCCCCTCAGAGATGCCCAGGTGGTGCAGGGCAGAGGAGGCACCATGTCCTTTGAGGGGGTAGAACCCCGGGGGCTGTGTCCCCTCAGGGCTGTGTCCCCTCAGGGCCCTGTGCCGGGAGCAGCTCTGGGACACAAAGGGCTTCTGCTGGTTGGAAGATGCACTGATTTCCATTTATCTGTCAGGAACGGGCCAGACACAGGAGCTGTTGTGGTTGGGCAAAGCATTTGCCTCACTAAGTCCTGGAATGCAGATGCAGCCTCTGGCCGAGGCCGGGCGGGTGCTGCGTGTGAAGGTTGGGCCCTCTGAGCCGGGCCAAGACCATTTGTCATTCAGAGGTTTTGCTCCCTGCACCCCCAGACCAAGGGTCACTGCCTGGCTCCCCCTGGAGCTGCTAACAGGGCCTGAGTTTGTACCAGAGCCAAAAGGGGGAACACTGTGAAATCAGGGGCTGCAGACAGAAGTTTAATCCTGCTCCCCACTAACTTACGTATTCCCCACTTAAACTAAGACGGGGCTGTCCTGAGTGTAATTTAGGGTGTTATTTGGCCTGGTCTGTGTGACCACTGGCAGCTACTCCAACAGAGCAGG